TCACTAGCCATGAACATGGCTACGATGCAACAAAGTGTGACCCAATTCCAAGAAACAACCAAATCAAGCATCCACAATTTGGAAAGTCAAATAAGCCAAATCTCAAATGCCGTGAGTAGGCTTGAAGCTAAGGATTCAGCAAAACTCCCATCTCAAACGGAGCCGAATCCAAGGCAACAAGCTCACGCGGTCACTTTGAGAAGTGGCAAAGAATTGGTTATGGCTAAAGCAAAAGCAAAGAGCCATGTTGGAGAAGAAGAGGAGGATATCTTGGTGCCAAGCACAAATCCTCAAAATGAAGAAGAAAAAGAGGAGGAAATCACACCTCAAAGAAAGTTTCCACCGCTCGATTCATACGAGCCGGTGCCACCTTTCCCGGAAGCTCTCAAGGACAACCGCAAATACACCAATGACAAAGATATCTATGAGACCTTCAGCAAATGTGAGGTAAATATCCCTCTTCTCAATTTGATAAAAGGTGTTCCTAGGTTTGCAAAGTTTTTAAAAGAGCTTTGCACAATAAAAAGGAAACACAAATTAAATGGCAAACATAAAATCCAAGTAAGCGAAAGAGTGTCAGCCGTCTTTCAAAAGAAACTGCCTAAAAAGTATAGTGACCCGGGAATGTTCACTATACCATGTAAACTTGGAAATTCTAGTTCTTCTAGGGCTATGTTAGATTTGGGTGCATCAATCAATGTCATTCCATATTCTCTATATAAGTCCCTAGAGCTAGGCCCTTTACATGAGACGGGGGTTGTTATCCAACTTGCCGATAGGTCCAACGCTTACCCAAAAGGTGTAGTGGAGGATGTACTCGTCATGGTGGATAACCTAATCTTTCCCGCTGATTTTTATGTTCTTGAAATGGAGAACGATAAAAATGCAGTCCCAATTTTGTTAGGAAGACCCTTTCTAAAAACGGCCAAAGCAAAAATAGATGTTTTTAGTGGAGTATTAACTATGGAGTTCGATGGTGAAAAGGTCGAATTTAATATCTACGACTCCATGAAATACCCCACCGATAATCACTCTCTTTTTGCAATTGACACTTGCGATACTTGGGTCCAAGATATATTTGAGGTTGAGGGGAAAGACACGTTACTAAGTTCAATTGAAAACGACATAGAGGACTTCACTATGGAATACTCTATGTCAAACAACATGAAGATGATGGTGGCGGAGTTAAATCAACTCCCACTTTTGCCACCGGGCTCTAAAGCCCTCCCACTAACCATTCCGAGCGAGAAGCCGCTACCATCTGTTTTGCAGGCACCGGAGGTGGAATTAAAACCACTTCCTGAAAATTTGAAGCATGTGTTCTTGGGCGAAAATCACACTCTACCGGTGATTATCTCAAACTCCCTAGCCCAAGAACAAGAGGAAAGATTGATTGCGGTCCTCAAGGAGTACAAGTTGGCCATTGGATGGTCTATTGCCGACATCAAAGGCATTAGTCCATCCACATGCATGCACCGGATCCTACTTGAAGATGAGGCCAAGGCGGTGAGGCAACCGCAAAGAAGATTGAACCCACCCATGATGGAGGTGGTGAAAAAGGAGGTGATCAAACTACTTCAAATGGGAATCATTTTTCCCATCTCCGATAGCAAATGGGTGAGTCCAACCCAAGTGGTGCCAAAGAAGACCGGAGTGACGGTCATTGAGAACAAAGAAGGCGAGATGGTACCCACCCGAATTCAAAACGGGTGGCGAGTTTGCATTGACTACCGAAGGCTCAATTCGGTAACTAGAAAAGACTTCTTTCCATTGCCCTTCATTGATCAAATGCTAGAGAGGCTAGCGGGGCACAAGTTCTATTGTTTTCTCGATGGTTACTCCGGGTATTTCCAAATACCAATAGCCCCGGAGGACCAAGAGAAAACAACCTTCACATGTCCATTTGGCACTTTTGCCTATCGACGAATGCCCTTTGGATTATGCAACGCACCGGGTACCTTTCAAAGATGTATGATGAGCATCTTCTCCGAATTTGTGGAGGTATTTATGGAGGTATTTATGGATGATTTCACAATCCATGGGGACTCTTTTGACACTTGCCTCTATCATCTCACTCTTGTGCTCAAAAGTTGCATTGAATCCAACCTTGTTCTCAATTCTGAAAAATGCCACTTTATGGTGGAACAAGGGATTGTTCTTGGGCATGTGATCTCCTCAAAGGGCATTGAAGTGGACAAGGCAAAAATTGATGTCATCCAAACACTCCCGTACCCAACAAATGTACGGGACATCCGCTCCTTCCTTGGTCACGCCGGTTTCTATAGGAGATTCATCAAAGACTTCTCAAAAATTTCATCTCCTCTATGCAAACTTTTGCAAAAGGAGGTTGAATTTGATCTCAATGATGAATGCAAAGAAGCTTTTGACACTTTAAAATCACGATTGGTGACCGCCCCCATCATACAAGCTCCCGATTGGTCTCTTCCTTTTGAGATCATGTGTGACGCAAGTGATTATGCGGTAGGGGCTGTTTTAGGCCAAAAGGTTGGAAGGGCTGCTCATGTCATCTACTATGCCTCATCAACCCTCAATGAAGCTCAAAAGAACTACTCCACCACCGAGAAGGAAATGCTAGCGGTGGTCTTTGCTTTGGAGAAGTTTCGTTCCTATCTTCTTGGAACGAAAGTTATTGTATACACCGACCACGCCGCTCTTAGATTCCTTATGACAAAGAAGGAAGCCAAACCAAGACTCATTCGATGGGTCCTTCTATTGAGTGAGTTTGACATAGAAATCAAAGACAAGAAAGGAGCGGAGAACTTGGTGGCCGATCACTTAAGCCGCTTGGTTCCAAACAAAGAAATCGAAAGTCTCCATACCAATCTCATAAAAGGCGAATTTCCGGACGAGACTCTCTTCTCCATCAAAGTCATACAACCGTGGTACGCAAACATTGTAAACTTTCTTGTTTCCGGCAAATTTCCCCCACAATTCTCAAAATCTCAAAAAGAAAAATTGAAAATGGACTCAAGACTCTATGTGTGGGATGACCCATATTTGTGGAAGCATTGTAAGGATCAAATAATCCGAAGATGTGTCCCTGAATATGAGATAGCTCACATTATAGAATTTTGCCATTCTTATGCTTGTGGGGGGCATTTCGGCCCGAAACGGACGGCAATGAAGATACTTGAAAGTGGCTTTTGGTGGCCAAGTCTTTTCCGGGATGCACATGGCTTTTGTCAATCTTGTGACAATTGTCAAAGAGCGGGCAACATTTCAAGGAGAAATGAGATGCCACAAAACCCCATGCTTTTCTGTGAAATTTTCGATGCATGGGGTATTGACTTCATGGGACCTTTCCCGAACTCTCAAGGTAACATCTACATTCTCCTTGCGGTGGATTACGTCTCTAAATGGGTGGAAGCTAAAGCCACAAAAACTGATGATGCCAAGGTGGTGGCTAGCTTCCTAAAATCACACATATTTTCTAGGTTTGGGGTTCCTCGAATTTTAATAAGCGATCGAGGCACACATTTTTGTAATAAAATTGTGGGATCCCTACTAAAAAAATATGGTGTGACTCACAAGATCTCCACTGCTTACCACCCTCAAACCAATGGCCAAGCGGAAACCTCAAATAGGGAGTTGAAGTCTATACTCCAGAAAACAGTGAACCCAAATCGGAAGGATTGGAGTATACGCATGGATGATGCACTATGGGCATACCGAACCGCCTACAAAACTCCAATCGGTATGTCCCCTTATAGACTTGTGTTTGGGAAAGCTTGTCATCTTCCCGTAGAACTCGAACACAAGTCGTATTGGGCGGTAAAAGAATTCAACCTCAATCTTGACGAGGCCGGTTTGCATAGGAAACTCCAATTGCAAGAATTGGAAGAACTCCGTTTGGACTCTTATGACAACGCGGAGACCTACAAAAGAAAGACGAAGGCTTGGCATGATAAGATGATCATAAGGAAGGACTTTAAACTTAATGACAAAGTCCTCCTTTTTCAATCACGCCTTCGTCTATTTCCAGGAAAGCTGAGATCTCGTTGGACAGGACCATACAAAGTGGTCAAAATATATCCACACGGGGCGGTGGAAATTGAAGACATGGGGACGGGAGAAGTACTCAAGGTGAATGGACAAAGATTAAAACCCTTCTTTGAGGGTTTTCAACCCAAAAATGTGGAAGTCATGGACCTTTCTGAACCGGTCTATGAGTGAAGAATAACGAAGATATCGTCGAGCCACGACGTTAAATAAAGCGCTTCTTGGGAGGCAACCCATGCAAGGTATGTTTTCTTTTCAATGTTTTGTTTTTGAATGTCAACTTTTGGGAGAATAGGAGGAAATTCTCAAACAGAAAATGAGGGAAAAATAATATTTTCAAGGCATGGGGAAACCCCCGATCGGTCGTCATCAGTTACCCGATCGGATCCATGCCGAAAAGAGGATTAAAATGGACCGAACAAGAATTCCAGGCTAATGTACCCGATCGAGTAACAGTCCTACTCGGTCGAGTATAGAGTAAAAAGGGGAAGAAGGGGGATCGAGTACCCCATACTCGATCGGCTAAAAGAAAAAAAAATGATCGAATACTCGATCGGGTATACCTCATACTCGATCGGGTAATCGACCCCTGGAGCCAAATTTAAAAATCCGCCAAATACCCGATCGAGTAAATTAATATACTCGATCGAGTATATTTCAAGAAAATCCTACGGCGGCCAAAATTCGATCGAGTATACCCCATACTCGACCGAATACACAAACCTGGAACCAAGTTTTTTAAAAAAAAGGGTATACCCGATCGAGTAAATTAATATACTCGATCGAGTATATTTCCAGAAAAACCTACGGCGGCCAAAACTCGATCGAGTACGGGGTATACTCGATCGAGCCCAATCCCGAAACAAGAACAAACCGAGGTATACCCGATCGAGTAATCGGGGTACCCGATCGGGTACACGAGTTTTAAAGACATTTTTGAGCCGAAATCAGTTCATCTTCTCCAAAGCTCTTGCCCCAAATTCGAACTCTCTCTCTACAAACTCCATTTTCAAACCTTATTTCTCCCATAACTCAACCAAAACTCAACCAAATTCCATCAAATCACCACCAAAACACTCCCCTCACTCCCCTCTACAATCTCATACCAATCAATCTCACCCTCTCTCCCTATTCCCAAAACTCCGAAACCCTACCCCCAAATCCCAAGTCCGAACCTATACTCAAGAATTACTCAAAAATGGCACCAAAGAGGAACCAACCGGAGGGCTCTAACTCAAGGGGACCTATTCGAGGCTACGAGGATGTTCAATTTGGCCCGGGGGATCATCGGAAGCGATTTGTGACCGCTCTCAAAAGGCAAGTTATCCCATCTCGGTTCTTATGCCATGACGCTCTTACTTCTCTTGGTTTGTTAAATGGTATGAGAGAACTATTTGATGAATTGCATATGGGCTTGATTTTTAACTTGCAATATAATTGTAATGAAAGAATCATCTATGAATTTTTGAGCTCGGCCAAATTTGCATTGGATGAAAATCATTTTTATGATGACACTATCACGTTTCGGTTGATGAATACCGAATACACTATAACGAGACGTGATTTTGCCGAACACTTTGGGCTCCGATTCCCACATGAAAGGGAGATTCCGGACAACACCATGGATGCTTATAATCTTTGGGGTAAAATAACCGGAGAACGGAATTTTAGCACGTCTCAACTATACATTAGTCACGTGCAACATCCCCTTCTCCGAATTTTCCTCAAGTTTTTGTGCAACTCTTTACTTGGCCGCCCCAACAACCATCACACTCGGATAGGGGATGTAGCCATTCTCACTCTTGCTCTTTTCCGCAATCCCGTTGAGTTCAACATTTGCAACTTGATTTGGGATCATCTACAAAAGGCTATCACGAAAGGGGGGAACATTGTTGTAGGGGGTGTTATCATGCATTTGGCTTCCAAGTTTGGCTATGTGGATAATGCCACAATCTCTAGAGATTCATTGATGCATCTTGGGTGGTTATCCAATGCACAATTGATCTCTTTGGGTAACAAAGACCACAACGGAAACCAAAAATATAAATGGCATATGAAGTACCCCGAACCGGTCAAATACTTCCCCCTCCCTTGCGATGAGTTACCTAGACTTAGGTATAAGATGGAACCCGCCCACATCCCACATTACCTCCTCCCCAATAACATTCCACCCCATCTCCAAGCCCAAGCCGACCAAGCCGACCAAGCCGAACAACCCAATCCCCAACCGGAACAACCCGCACACCAAGAGGACTATGGACACTTCCAACATGACATCCCCGACCCTCCTCAAAATCCGCCACCACAAGACTTTTTCCAACAACTCTTGGAGGGTCAACAATCCCTCCTAGCCGGGTTCCAAACAATGAGCCTTGATTACACCAAAATGGGAGAGCAATTCACCCAACTTCAAGGAGAAATAGGCCATTACCGGAACGAGCAACAAGCACGAGACCGGCAATTTGATGCTTACCGGGAGGAGCAACGGTTGGCTTTTCAAAGGATGGAGGAGCAAAGGGCGGCCGACATGCAAAGGTATGAAGAAGACTACCGGAGGATGTATGGGCCGACATATTCATACATGTCCCAACTTGGCGGGTTTGCCTCCATGGCCTCACCTCCACCGGCACCTTCTTGGTACAACCCCTCCGATTGGGGTAATTTTGGCGGCTCGAGTTCCGGCGGTGGTGGTTATGATGGCGGGGACACTACCATGGGCGAGGGAGGAGGTGATGACATGCATGGGAGCGGTTTTGGCGGAGGCTACTATGGTGGAGAGGGCGGGCACTAAGGATAGTGCCATGATTCAAGTGTGGGGGAGAAAGATCATCTTTTGGTATGTACACTCCTTTGTTTTTACCTTGTACTACGCATTACTTTTCTTGTTTTAGTTGTACACAAAAAAAAAAAAAAAGTAATAAAAGAAATGAAATGCTAGTTAGGTTGAAAACCCAAAAGGGCAATCTAAGCAACAAGGGCTTACAAAAATGATGAGTGAGGGGTAAGAAAAAAAAAAAAAAAAAAAAAAAAACAAAGAGATGCTAGGATGAAAACCTGAAAAGGCTCCTAGGCAAAATGAGAGATATGAGAGAAAAATTTGTTTTTGCAGGACACTATCTCTTGGAGAGGCAGAAGAAGAACAAAAGAAGAAGAAGAGAAAAAGAAGTAAGAGGCATAGAAGACCATTAAACCCAAAGAGATGTTATTTTGTAAACTCATTTACAATACTTGGTGGTTTTAATTCCTTATTTCTTCCAAATTCTGAACTCATGATCTTTTGACAAACATTTTGTAAACATTTGGTTTTACTCGAGGTCGAGTAAAGGAACTAAGTGTGGGGGAGTTGACATTCATGTTATTTCCATGTTTATAATTGTGCTTTTGATTAAGTTTTGAGTGATTGTTACTCTAGAAATTACACACTTTTGGTGTAATAGTTTAGTTTGTAAAATGTTTGTAAATTGATTAGATTAGGTTGGTTCTGAGCTCAAACAGGTCCAAGACCACTCTAGGGACCATTGGTGAACATCACAATTGGAAGGAAAGTGCAAAGATTTCAAGAAAAGATGAAGATTCTGATTTTTGGTAGTGTACCCGGTCGAGTATGCCCTATACTCGATCGGGTAAGTTGCTGAAAAGTCAAATCGGATAAATCCGGGAACAAGGCAACATGCAGGAGGATTTTCTAACTCGATCGCGTATCCATACCCGATCGGGTAGCCGACATACCCGATCGGGTATGACCCCAGAATTTCAGTTTCGAGGAAACTAACCCTTACCCGATCGGTTGAGCTAAAAACTCGATCGGGTACACGACCCTGCAGGCCTAAAAAGCCTATAAATACACCCCATTTCCTCCACAAGAAAACCACCAATTCCTTTATACTCTTAAGCTCAGTTTAGAATAGCATTTCTCTATATTTCTTTTAGCATGTTTAGTCTCCAAATGAGGAGCTAAACTTCCATTTCTTGGTTTTGCTCTTGAAGCTTGTTGATTATTAAAGTTGTGAGTTATTTTCTTACTTTCTCCTTTTGATTATTAATTCTTCCCTTAATCTATCTCTATATGAATGTTGGAGGGTGGCTAAGTGACGATTAGTTAACGTTCCAACATTGATTATTACTAGAAACGATCAACGAACCGATGGTTAAACGTTGATGGTTTCACAAGTAAGTAACTTCGGTTTATTAACGCACGGTCGTGGTTAATAAACTTAAGAGGGATTAATTTTGTTGGTTAAACCGAAACCGTTGTGTTGAGGTTATCAATCTCAATTGATTTCATCAAGGAGTTAAAGAGGTTAAATGCTACTATTAAATCGGTATACGGCGTTGTTCTATATTTGGTTAATAGTAAGGGTTATTAATGAACGGTTGTTGTTAATAACTACCCTCGATGAATTGGATATACTCCTCGATTGAGTATTCGAGAGGGGATAAGTTATAGACATAACAATGATCGACTAAAATATATCAACAAGTGGAAAGTAGCAAGACCAAGTCCCTTTTATTCTTATCCCATATAAATCGTTCATCTTCGTGTTTAATTTAATTAAATCACTCAACAATCAAAACCCCCCTTTATTTACTATTTATATAAAAAGAAAGTTATTTCTTTCCCTGTGGATACGAACTCTACTTCACCTATACTACGTATAAGTGTTAGTATCGATTTATTTACTGTTATTTCATTCACAACTGCCAACTCTCATTATTAAAGGTTTGCCTCAATGGGTTTCTGAACAACCAGGCTCAATATGCATATTTTTTGCGACTTTGGGTGTGTTGAGGTATTCACTTTGATTTCATGTATCTGCCTTTTCTTTACATGGTTACATCTATATTTATACATTAGAGAAAGTCGCACTTTTAGTCCCTGAAATAGTCACGAAAATGAAACGTCGGACTCATATTTCAGATATTGTAAATGCCACCTCTCAATTGTCCAAATTGTTGTAAATGTAATCCTTTAAGGGTTGAAATGTACTCTCACCCACATTGTATATTTCACCCTTTAAAGGGACCACATTTACAATATTTTGGACAATTGAGGGACGACATTTACAAACTTGGGAATATATACGGGTCCGACATTTCATTTGAGTGACTATTTCAGGGACTAAAAAGTGCGATTTTCCTATATGTTATTATTATTAATATTATCATTGCTGTTCCAATATAAAAATGGTATATGTATGGGAAAGAAAACCATTATGTAACAATTCTTATGTTTCAATATAGTGATTCAAATAAAAATTCCCATTAACTTATTAAGAAATTAGAAAACTTTAAGGAGGGTGTATTGGTTTGAGACTTCCAAAGACATTTTAAGATTTATAAGGACATGGGATTTTAGTAGACTTTTTTATAGAGATATTACCCAAAATGGGACTAAAAATGTTTGAAAATTCCAAAATAGGACTGTCATATTTTAATTCCCGAAATAGGATTAATTACTGTCATGTTTTGGTAGTACCAGACTTCAAACATGACAGCATTTTCCAAACACGGCAGTAATTACCCTTATTTTGGGAATAAAAAAGAGATATTACCCGAAATAGGACTAAAAAGGTTTGAAAATTCTAAAATAGGACTGACATGTTTTTATTCCAAAAATAGGACTAATTACTGTCATGTTTTGGCAGTACCAGACTTCAAACATGGCAGTATTTTCCAAACTTGACAGTAATTACTCCTATTTTGGGAATAAAAACATGGCAGTCCTATTTTGGAATTTTCAAACTGTTTTAGTCCTATTTCGGGAACTTTCCCAATAAAAAACATGACAGTTCTATTTTGAAATTTTCAAATTGTTTTAGTCCAATTTCAGGAACTTTCCCTTTTATATATATATATACAAGGACTTTTAAGATGAGAGATATTACCCTAAATAGGATTAAAAAGGTTTGGAAATTCCAAATAGGATTGTCATGTTTTTATTCCCAAAATAGGACTAATTACTGTCATGTTTTGGCAGTACCAGACTTCAAACATGACAGTATCTTCTAAACTTGGCAGTAATTACTCCTATTTTGGGAATAAAAAACACGACAGTCCTATTTTGGAATTTCCAAACTGTTTTAGTCATATTTCGGGAACTTTCCCTTTTTAGATTTGTGTGGACATTTTTGGTTAAGACATTTGAAGACAAACGGATTCTGGGAACGCAGTAGCTGCAAGCATTTCCCTCTCCACATTCCTGCAAGTATTTTTTTCTACTTGATGCTCTTGGGTGTATTCAAGTTCCAATTCCTCGTAGGCTGCCTTCTCCTTCAAGTTATTCCTGCTCCTTGAGTATTTCCTTCTCCTTGAGGGATCCATTATTCTATGGTTGCACAGGATGGAGAAGCAGCACGTTCCGCGGAAAAGAAGGTGGGGATTGTTCAGACCCAGAGCGATTTCTGCCATCCACAGCAGCACCATGTCTGAAATGAGGCAATTTGGGGGCGGCTCAAGTCGTCCCAGCACCTTTTCTGCGAATGGTCTCACCAAATCTCATGTCGAGAGGTGGGATTGTATAATGGGATTTCCTATTGTATATTTCTAGTTTAGTTCTACTAAATTCCATTTCACACGACTATCCAAAGTTTTGTTGATATCTTAAATACACCAAGACTTTTCTAGATTCTCAAAATGTTTTAAAATGTCTCAACTAAATACACCCAGGTTTGGAAATCCCAAAATGTATTTAAAAGTCTCAAATGAATACACTCCCCTAAATTTTGAATAGTTTATATTTTTCCATTTTTTAAATATCTGTGATCTAGAAGCTTTTGTTCTTGGGCCTGATTGTTTTAAGAAGACTACTTTTACTCTTATTATTATAAGAAGATGCAAAACAGATTAAAGCTGGCCGGCATGATTTTTTATTTTCATTTTTGATAGGGCTTTTGATGTTGGCCATGATGAAGTCTCACTTCAGTTCGAAAATTGTTACACAGCATTGAAACTGGTGTGTGCATGTTCTTTGCACTTGGTAACCACAAATTGTTGTTGTTGTTATTGGTATATCATCATCATCATAATTTCACAATGTGATAATTTCATGATATATAGTTTGTCATTATCCAATTTCATTAGAAATATCGGAAATTCTTTTTCCAACTTTATATTCACTTTGTATTTTGTTGCTGATATTCACTTTATATTATCTTATATTTATCTTTATTTTTTCTAATACATCTGAAATGTTTATATTTATCTTTATTTTTTCTAATACATCTGAAATGTTTATATTTATCTTTATCTTTATTTTATCTTTTTGATCTTACCTTATCTTTTTTTTTTTCCTTTTTGACTCCGATATCATGTACTTATCGATTAATGTTAGCCGACCCCACGACCGTGCTTTCTTTGAGGTTGCTGAGGCATGGGCCTCAGAGTCCCAGAAATGGTAAAAAATTAGGGGCCCAAAATTTTTAATATCTTCCTCTTATATGTGTGTTTATTTAAATTATAAAAGACCTGTTTTGTTTTTAATTATATCGTCGCTGCACGCCTGCACTCAAAACAGAAGAAGGACAATTTGTCGCTGGGGCAATCAACCAACGAAAAACAAAAAGCTGACTTTATCCTTTTTATGCTTAGCTTTTAATCTTTTAATATTTTATGTTTCAATGTTAAATTTTTCACAAATAGCTTTTGAAATTGCATGTAGAGACCGAAAGTTTATGGGCCCAATTAGAATTTGTTTTGCACAATGAAAAACTCTTTTTCGTATCTTAATCGGAGATAAATTAAAAATTGTTCCAAGGGTTGATATGAGATGCCATTGATTGATTAAGATGCATAATTAAACAATTCCGGCTTTTTTTAATCTAAATCTATGTTCAGAAAATTAAGTTTAAGCTTAATTTGGGATGTTTAAATGATTAAAGATGCAGAATTAAACAATTTCAGTTTTTATAATTTAAGATTTTAATCTTAAATAGGCTATGATTTCTAATTTACTAACAAAAATGTACTCCGTATTATTTAGCACATTTATTTAACTAATATTATTATATATCAAAAAAAGTAATATTATCACATAATATATGATTTCAATAAATTATATTTTTATTTATTTGTGGATGTACGCGAGAAGGAATTTCAATATATATTGAATGGATTAACATTTTTATTAATTTAGAAGGAATTTATTAGACAACATGATTTTCATAGGTTGTACTTATTTAGTTTTTTAATACTTTCGGTATTCTTATATTATATAATGTATGAATTTTATTAAAATAGTTATTTTGTGATGTTTGATCTTTAACTTCAAAACAAATTATACTACATAATATTGCAATTTATAGGGGCCTTTTTTATGAAGTTTCGACTCAGGCTCGAGTTTAGGTAGGATCGGCACTGGCCGACCCCAAAATCTTTTGGTAATAAGTCTTGGACATTGTTGTTGATATTCACTTTGTATTTATCAATCACCATGAGTATTATACTACGTATATGGTTTAATTTGTCATGACACAATTTCATGAGACCAGTATTTACTATTTAATGATTGTGATTGGAGTGAATATAGTGATTCAAATAAAAATCAAATTAACATATTAAGACATTAGAACATTTTAAATTATAAAAAATTTATATTTTTCCATTTTTTTAATATCTGCGATCCAGAAGCTTTTGCTTTTGGGCCTAAACTGTTTTAGGAAGACTTATTTTTCTCTTATTATTATAAGATGATGCAAGATTTTTTTTTTTGTAGAGAATAATAATAAGGGAAATTCTATTCACAGGCCCTTATTTACTAAGTGCAGCCACTTATTTTCTATACTTCTTATTATGCCCTTAATACAATAATCAACAGCCCGGTCGTGGCATGAACGTGCAATTCCCTTTCTTTCACCGACATCAGGTACTAATACAATAATCGGTAGTTCTTTGTTTTTCTATGCCTCTTTACTGATGATGTTCCGGAAGATCACCTGATTTTCATACTTGCGAATGAAAGTGACTATGCCCTCTTCCCTGCAGCTTTCCATATTTTGTATTGAACGCATGGAGGACCCTTTAAAACATGTTTGAGCGTATGTGAATTGTTATAACACACCCTCTATTTTACTAAGGATGGAAAGAATGCCCAGTGCCCACCAAGTTCAGCTCAAGCTTCTATCAATATGGAGTCGCCTCAGTCAAAGATGGTAAGGAGTAGCATCAATAGACATCATCTCTGCCCACGAGAAGACCTTGGTCCTTATTCGCTTCTCCACCTTCCCGCTGCTTATCATTCCAGAATTTGCATAGTCAACTTAGCTTATCATTGAAATTATTTTGAGTCTTCCCCGAATCTTAGCTTTTTAGCTGTTGCGGGTTGATTCAGCAGGAAGCGTAATGAATGGTGAGGGCTGTTCGTTGACGTCGTTAGCAGTGGCCAGCGATATTGTGGCGGCATATTCTAATTGCAGAATATTTGGAAAATAAGAGCTGGGGATCGGAAGCGCTTGGTTGTGGGGCTTTTGCTAAAACAGGACACATCGTTGTGATAAAAGTGGTGAGAAGGCAGAAGAATTTCAAAGGCGGCCATTGGGACCACGTTAAACAGAAATTTTCTATTATGCGCCGCCTGCCCAGCCCACATATCATGCGCCTCTTCAATGTCCTAGCCACGGAGAAGAAGATCTGATCTATTTACCAGGGAGGGTGTGGCCGTGTGGGCTGCGGGCTGCAGATTATTACATAAGGACATAGTAGGAATTATTAAAAATACGGGGCTGTACATAGCAAATAAGTTAGTGTGAATAGAATTACCCTAATAATAATAGTGATAGATTGATATTAAATAAGTATGGTATTGTATAAATAAGTATCCTGGGCCATGTCATAAAATGTGGGCTGGCCCATTAGGATATAATTACTATAAGAACTGAAAGGGGAGAATATGTGAGTTAGGCAGAAATTAGTTTGGGATTTGGATCTTGGGAGTGCAGGGGACCACTCGAACTCGAAGTGTCTCCAACTACTGTATCTTTCTCTTTTCAGTTCATCAATAGCAACTTAATCGTCTTCAATTTACTATCAAATATCTGTGTACCTATCATTGGTACCAAAGCGGTCAGCCCTAGGAAGCTTCGATCGATATTCACGCAACAACAACAACAAAATGGAGAATCGCGCTTCTGGTTTGCGCGCAAATATGGAGAATAGCACTCGAAGTTTTGAAGGCCATGTTACGAAGATGGAAACGATGCTGGAGGAGATGATACAACATCTGCTAAACAGCGTCGCAGGAGAACTAGAGGCCGAGCGAGGAGTCCTCCTAGATGCCGTCGGTCAACTGAAAATCAGGTAACATCGTTCGTCGCTCTTCCTTCCCAAACGCGAATAGCTTCTTCCAGTTCGCTATCACGAACTTCATCTCCCGGTTCGCACGCTTCTTCTCTAGCTTCGCACAGTTCGCAGTCACCAACAGCGTTATCTCCCAGTTCGTTGCGAACTGTTTCTACTCCCAGATCTTCATTTCCCTTGCAAGATTTCAAGATAGATTAAAGTTTACATAACGTTTTTTTTATTGTTGATAGGGCTTTTGATGCATGTTGGCCATGATGAAATCTTACTTCAGTTCGAAAATTGTTACACAGCGTTAAAACTGTTGTGTGCATGTTCTCTGCACTTGGTAACCACAAAATATTATTGTTGTTTTTATTGGTATCATCATCATTATCATCACAATTTCACAATGTGATAAGTTAATGATTATTGGAAAATCTTCCGGTAAGGTATACCTTACCGGAGTCGCCGTGCGGTCTACACGTTTTGAGGGCCTTCCCGGTGGAATTTTTCGATGAAATTTTGTGAGCATGTTCTTCATCAAGTCTAGTACATCCATACCAAATTTCAGCAAACAATTCAATAGGGAAGGCAGTCAAATGATCTTTGGAAGATAACTGCGTTTATATGTATATAAAGGGTGCAGTTATCTTCCAAAAATCATTTGACTGTCTTCCGGATTGAAGTGTTTGCTGAAATTTGGTATGGATGTACTAGACTTAATGAAGAACATGCTCAAAAAAATTCATCGAAAAATTCCACCGGGAAGGCCCTCAAAACGTGGAGGCGGCACGGCGGCACCGGTAAGGTATACCTTACCGGAAGAGTTCCCATGATTATTAATATATAGTTTGTCATTACGCAATTTCATTAGAAATATTAGAATTTCTTTTTCCAACTTTATATTCACTTTGTATTTTTATTACCATTATTATTATACTCCGTATGTGATTTGCCATGACACAGTTTCATAAGAAATATTAGAAATTCTTTTGCCAACTTTATATTAACTTTGTAATTTTGTAATTTGCAGGAAAGTGTTGTACACGGTAACACTCTTCATGTTGACTATGTTCTCACATGGAAGGGATAAAAAGGGCCTTGGAGGAGGAAGAAATCTTGACCCTTTCTCCATTCCTAAAGAAACCATGACTGGAGCAATCATGTACAAAAAACGAATTAGAGAAACATTGAATGTGAATGGAGCCATATCATCTACTTTCCTCGAAATGATCTTTGTTGTTCTATTATTTTGCAATTGATAATGATAAAGGGTGTCTATTTATTTTACTTTCTTTTTATGTACTGCCCTTTTATCAGTTTATGGAGTTATTATTTCAAGCTATTTTATTTCGTCTTTATTTCTTTCCTAAACTTTTCTTTGCCACATAACTCATACTTCTTAGTTCATACCCTTGAACCTCCTGGCTTGTATAGCACTTGAAAAATTATCCGTGCTATATGTATTTTTCTAAATTTTTCATAGAAGCAATATAAAAAACTATCTACAGGTTGTCAATGAAGTTTAATTATCTTGGTTTTGAAATATAAACATGCACTTGTTGGATCATTCAAAAGAGGACATTCATCAATGGCTATGTTCAGGGAGTTGGTATATGATACACCCGGCTACACTTGTTAATGTTTTAAAAAATAAAACATTAACACCTTAAATATTTATTAGTTTATTAAATATTTAAGGTGTTTTTTATGATAAAAAAAACACCTTAAATATTTAATAAACTAATAAATATTCCTCTTAAACTAAAAATAAAAAAAGGAAACATTAATACTTTAAATATACATCATATTTAATATCCATGGAAAAGAGTTACGTAAATCACAAACAATTATCAGTACAAAACAAAAAGCTACGTAAAAAACAAAAGAGAAAAGTCAAAGATGGAAGAGAGCATAAAAAAAGAGTCAAAAAACGGAAGAGAGCGTATCCGCAGTGGACTCAAGCTCGCAGGAGAAGAATTATTAAAGAAAGGATACTGACGAACTACGGCCATACAAATCAGAAATAATTATAAAAATACTCGGATGTACAGTGAGAACCATACATGCATCCGGGTGTACGGTATAATTTGCCATGATGAGGAAGTAGTTCAAATTTATTTGTTTCAAGGTAATACTCACATCAGGCGTGTTGGGGATCAGAAACATTTTTTGTTGCAAAAAGGAAATGAGTTAAGGTAGTCATTTATTATTTATAATAATAAAAGGGTTGTGGTTTCCTATGTTGTATAAATGGACTGGGCCTTATTTGATTTGATTTCCTATGTTTTATCACTCTCTTCATTCACAAAACTTGAGCATATCATTTTAACTTAATGATCATCAATCATACGATAGTATTCATTTGTAAGTAGTAAAAACAAAATCATTTGTAAGTAGTATGAGCGACTAAACATCACCTTTATGTATGACCTGTTAAAATTAGAATTAATGATCAATAAGAAACACTAATGAGATGTGCCAACAACATGAGGCATCGATGCCTAAAAAGGCGCTATAGGGTCGGATTTTGGCACAGACCGATGACGGGCGTCTTCATTAAAATCCTAGACTAACGAGCTTGGCTCGGTTTTGTTAATAGATATCTATTAACAACACACAATGCTAGAAAAATATTTCTACAACCCAAAGGCTGATGTAAGCTATGATAGAATATAATAATTCTACATTGCCATACTATGAATGAATAATTAAATGAAGTTTATCATTGTTTGCTCACCACTTTCTACTTTTGCTTACTAACATCAAGACATAATTATCGAGGTAAGGGTCAGATTGGTACTCGAAGTTGCATAAAAAGGGCAGGGCCATCTAATAAATTTGGAGGCCCCAGTTTAAAATCTAAAAACGGGCCCCCACATTAATATAAAAAGTTTTAAAAAACCCTCAATCTAAATACTTATATACTCAAATCAATTGAATACTGATTAAAAGATAACTAAAAGAGTAAAAGGACTAACAAAAAATGATGGATCTATATTTTTCTTCCTTACTAGGTAACTATATTTTAGTGATTAGTATTAATATATAATATTAATATATAATATTAATAAAATTTTAAAAATTTGGGGCCCCACAAATTTGGGGGCCCTGTTCTAGATAACCTATTGAACCCCCTAAAAAACGGCCCTGAAAAAGGGTCAAATAAGTCCTTATTGTCCGACCGTCGCCATTTGAGGCGGTTCCCGGTGGAACTTTTTGATGAATTTTTTTGAGCATCTTATTCATTAAGTCTAGTTTACCCATACCAAATTTCATCTAAAAATTCAATCAGGAAGACATTCAAATAAATTCTTGAAAAAAACTGCGCAGTTATCTTCAAGAATTCATTTGAATGCCTTCCCGGTTGAATTTTTAGATGAAATTTGGTAGGAGTAAACTAGACTTAATGAATAAGATGCTCAAAATATTTCGTCAAAAAATTCCACCGGGAACCGCCCCAAATGGCGACGGTCAGACATAACCGCCTATATAAGGACTTATTTGACCCTTTTTATGCAACTTCAAGTACCAATCTGACCCTTACCTCCATAATTATCCTTACTCTTTCCTTCTCTTTTTAACTTTTTAGCTGCTCTTTAATATTTTTTTACATTTTCTCTATACTTATAGTACACACTAATTACTATCCCATCAGTTTTGGTACTAGATTATGTGAAAAGCCTTTGGTGGAGATGTCAAATGAAAATAAATAAAGCATAAATTGAAAACATGAATGAATGAACCAATCAATCTTAGACCCATAAGAAACCATGAATTTTGAAATTTTTATTTTCAATTACTCTGGCGTTTTAAAAGAAATGTCTTCCCAAAGAATATAAGGGTTTTAATAAGGAACTTATTAATAATACTCAAGTTTAAAATAGGGATATCCAAATAAATAAAATCAAAGGAATTTACATGAATACAATGAAGAACAAAGAGATAAACAAGTCTTAGGAGTAAAGTCTATGTTACTCTAAAGACATATCTTTACGACATATTTATCAATGTCGAGTGTAGCGCTCGTCATATTTCGCCACTTTTACGCCACTGCGCTGCCATGCCATATTCGCCGTATCCAAGCCTGAGAATAACAAACACGAGAAGTTGAGATGGAGATTATGAGGTCAGACGTTAGAACGGCGAATGTAGCAATTTCTTTGATTTTCAAAAAGGAAATATGTTAGGAGTTGGGGTTTCCTATATTGTATAAACCGTTTGGGCTTTTTGGATATGATTTTCTATGTTTTATTACTCTCTTCATTCACAAAACTTGAGTATATCATGTTAACTTAATGATCAGGTTTGATTAATTATCATACGATAGCATTTATTGATAAGTATATATTACGGGTGATTCGGTAAGGTATACCAAAATTTTCACGCCATAACGCATACCATACCGAAATGTTAGCATCTTCAAATGTCAGACCGTTACTGTATTGAAAACATGGGTATATCGAAATTCGGTATACCAAAAGATCGGTACGGTATGCAACAGTGCAACCCATACCGTTTATACCAAAAATTCTGACTATAAAATCTTATTAACTGGATCCTTATAAAACATCGGCAATTCGGCATAAGGGACCTACCGAACATTCGAAAATCTGATTTTAATATGCCAAACACGATAAAAAGATTTAAATTTCACTATTTGCATGTAAGAGTCTGATCATCGCCATGCCACCTGGTAAAGTGTCAACCATGCATCTGACGTGGCAACTTAATGAATCACCTCTGAACTCGACCAAATTGTTCAATTCACACCATCAACCGTTAAAAGGTGTCAAAATTAAGAAGAATGACAAAAAATGAAATATAAACACAAAAGAACATTAACAGTATTCCCATATTTTATATGAGAAAAGGAACAATAGATTATTACTAACTAAATTTAAATTTGTATTTTATGTACAATATCTAATGTTTTGTAATATAAAACATATTTTATGTGTTTGGTTTGATATTTAATATTATGTTTATATTCTCCATGTGTATGTTTTCAATTCATATTTTTTTCATTTATTGAAAAATATATATTAAAGATGTATTGCTTTGATGTAATCATATATTATCCTTCGTTTCTTTTTAGTTGTAACATGAACAATTTTACACTATTCATTTGATCTTTTTTGACTAAATTTATTTATTAATGTATGCAAGTTATCTTTTTTTTTTGAAAAGGTATATAAGTTATCTTTTGAAAAATATTATTGAATTAATCTCATTATGAATTTTCATTATATGATTTTTCTTTTATTTTTTTAATTTAAATTAGATTTTTCAATTTCGTGTATGTGATTTGTAAACACATCACTGTAATAGTAAAAACATTTAAAAAACTGATTACAAAAATTTTTGATGAGAAAAATTCAAAAATATTTTCCAAAAAATAAGTATCGTTAATAAATAAAATATAGTCAAAACAAAGATGGTGAATAGTATAAAATTTTCCATGTTACAAGTGAAAAGAAATGAAGTATAGTATATAATTATACCAAACTAATACATTTTTAATATTTTTTTAAATAAATTTAAAAATATAAAAAATGAAAAAATAAAAATGGAAAATATAAACATAGTATAAATTATCAAACCAGAAACATAAAAATATGTTTATATGGTAGAATATTAAATATAATACATAAATACAAATTCAAATATAGTAAGTAAAAATATATTGTTTATTTTCTTATATAAAATATAGATATAAAATTTGGGAATAAAGTTAAAAAATCTTTAAGTTTATATTTTATTTTTAATTTTAATTTACCACAAAATATATATACACACTATACATTTATATTTTTATAGTTTGAACTATATTTCATCTTATACTACATATTTGTATATTATATTTTCTATATTTTTATTTTTTATTTTTCTTAATTTTGACACTTAAGTGGTCACTTCAAGTACAATTGACACCTTACCGGGTGACTAGTGGTGGACTGGGCCCGAACTGGAACCCGACCAAACCTAGAAGGTCTTGGGTAAGGATCGGAACCAGACCGGTAAGCTACCGGTTCCGGGCTAGGCCGGGCCCGGGCAGATCCCGCACAATAGCAAGATGGGCCAGTTCCTGGTCCGGTCGGCCCGGACTGGGTCCATTAATACAGATGACATGACAATGATTGAAACCTAATCAACAAATAGTCAAATTTGATTTTTTTTATAAAGTTTAAATTGTCAATTGAAGCTTTTTTTCAATTCACGTGGCAAATCGAGTATTTCAAAATCCGAAACAAGGCCGATTTAACTCTAACAAATACTCCCTCCGTATTTAAAAGATCGTTACATTTGGTTATGGCACAAGATTTAAGGTAGAATGGTAAAAGCAATGAATACTATAAAAAAAATAGAAGAGAAGGTGGAAAAATAGGAAAGAGAGGTTAACAAAATAGAAAAAGTAAGAATAACTGAATATTTTTAAAAGAAAAACTTACCAAAAAGGAAAAATGTAGAAAACTTTTAAATGCATCCCAAAAAGAAAAGTGTAGGGAACTATTAAATACGGAGGAAGTACGATTTGTTAAACTTTTCCTATTAAACTTTTCCAAGTACAGAAGCCTTTCTACACAACTAAAGGTGACTATTTGAGAACTGACGAGAGAAAAGAAACAGTCACATACTCACATACTACAAATACAGTAAGCTAAAAGAAGTAGAAGAGCAATAGGGATGGACCCGGACCATGCCGGTTCCGGTTCGGGCTTGGGCCCAACCGGGCTTTTGTTTGGGAAGTAAAGAACCGGAACCGGCCCAGTTGACTGGCGATTCCAGGCCGGTTTCCAGTTCAATGTTATTTTTTTTAATTTTCTTTTTTTTTTCTAAATTATCCCCCCCCCCCCCCTTCAACCCCCAACCCCCCCCCCCCCCCGCCGCCGCCAAAACACCCAGCCCTACACGGTAGAAACAAAAAAAAAAATTGGAAAAAAAAACAAATTTGACACGAACCGGCCGGGCCAGTTCAACATTTTTAAGACCCGAGCCCGAACCGGGAGTTGAGCGGTTCCAGTTGGCCCGAACCGGCCCCAAGACCGGGTACCGGGCCGAGCCGGGCCCGAACAGTACCGGGCCGGTTATGGGCCGGGCGGCCCGATCCAAGTCCACCCCTACTTGAAAAGATTAAGCAACTTACCAACCGCATTGTTTACAGATTGTGGACATAAATGACGGACTTCTAACTACTGTATTATTTATAGTCAGTTAGTCACTCATCACTCTTTAAAAGCTGTCTTAAAATTTTAGACTTTTATTAGAAGCTATTTGAGTGGCTTCTTCAAAAAGTATATTTCTTTTAAGACATTTTCAATTACTAAAATTTCCAAAAAATTGCCAAACATGCGTGCTCATTCAAGAACCTATCTGTGTTCAACTCCAGAAAAGTAAAAGAAGACTACCTCCCTCCCACAATTGTTTGTCAACTTTAACTGGCACGTAGATTGAGAAAATTTAGAACATATGGCTTGAGATCTAATTCAAACGAAGGAAAAACAATGAGCCTCAAATTTGTTTCCTCAACCAAACTATTGTGGGAGGGAGAGTCTTTTTTAGGAGGATCGATTAAGCAGGGACATAAGACTCTAGCATCAGTTGTGTCCGGGTAGGTGAGCTGATCTCTACAACCAAATAAGTAAACTTCCACTGCTTCTCCACTTTGTCTTGGAACATCTCTGCAAACACTTTGCCAGCCCCGTGTGGTCCCCGGATATAAAAATTCACCTTGTTCAATAATTTTAATAAGATTATATAATCGGCAAGAGATAGAGATTTCATATTCAATGGATTTATTATAATTAGGCCATGTTTGATTCTTTATAATAATAATAATAATAATAATACCTCAACATGTTCAATCCCATCTTCGTCAGTCCATATCCTGTTTGGTATGCGTTGACGGGCTGCACGGTTTCTACTTTCTGATCCATAACCCGTAATAGGGGATCCAATTCTCACCCTAACCTGTTAAAAAATAACTGACTTCATCTTAATTCTGAGTCAATGATCTAGACATATTTAAGCCAATCAAAAGTCACAATTTAGGTGCATCGACCCCTTTTTGTTATAGCCGGTGAACAGCCTCAATAAACTAGTGAAGCCTGCCACAACACCGACGTTGCAGAGCCTCACCACCAGCAATCAGAGCCGAGCCAGCATGAACACCCGTAAGCCCATGCCAGATTCCTAGCAGCCCAGCAGGTAAATCCGTCCAAGGAGTTCGGACGTCTGAGGTAGGAATTAAACCCTAGAGGATAGCTACTCAAGAGACTTGAGCATGCTACTTTTACAACCTTTGACAGTTTTTTGTGAATGTCTAAACTTTCATTTTAATACTACCTCGGTTGGAAGAAAACATCATGCTTTATAAACACATATTTATTAGTATTAGTATGACTTGGGATGTTTTTATTTAGATTGATTTTAGTTCTAGATCAGAACCAACTAGACCACACAAGAACAGACCAAACCAAACTTAAAGACTAGACAAGAAAAGACCATATTAGACCAGGCCAAACTTTTAGAGTTATAAAATACACATAGACCAAACATCTACCAGACCAGACTTAAACAGATCAGACCAGAAAATTTCAATCCATCATCATCATCATTTTCATTTACCCCAATGCCGCAAAGGCTCCCACCTGCGGTGGGGTAGGGGGGGTCGGATGTACGCAGTCTTACCTCTGTACTAAAGCACAGAGAGACTGTTTCCGGATGACTCATAGTGAAAAACGCATTCAAAATTGCATGGACTGACTGCTGATTCATAACAAAGAAGCGCAGACAATTTAATGAGCCATTTTGCTTTATTCCATCATATTCTCAAGCCAAAAAATAATGAATCTTTGGCTCTATTGCAAATGATGGAAAAAGAAAATTTCAATCCAATTACAAAAAATGCATACCTTTCCACATGCAATTACTACCTTTGCTTGATCAAACATGACTCTTTCACGCAAAAGAGAATGTTTAAAATAAGAAACTGTTCTTGAGGACAAGTGAGGAAAAACGAAAATATGTACAAAAGGAACTGCATGTCCCTAGAATGGTCCCAACAATAATAATCCTAATGAAAGCCCATTAAAACCAAATCAGAAAAAATAAAACAGCAACATCAAAGCCTTGAAGCTATTAAAATGTCTTAATTAATAATAAAATCCTAAAAAACGTAAAAGAATAATAAAAAACGTAGAAAAATAATAAAAAAATTTATAAAATAAAAAATAAAAAACGTATTAAAAAAACGCCGCCACCTCTGCCACCCCTAGCACCACCAGTTCCCACCACCGGTTGGAAATATGCCAATATTTTTAGTAATGCCATAATAAGGGAAGATTCAATGAGAATTTTGGCATTATGAAAAGTAATAATGCCATTTTCGAAAAAAATTGCATTTTTTGCAAAAAATGACAGAATTTTCACCGATCGGTGGTGGTGGTGCTGGGAGACGGTGGGAAAGGTATCGATATTTTTTTTGTTTTTATGGGTTTTTACCATTTTTATTAATTTAAAAAAAATGTTCATTATGATTTTTATTGATTTTTTATATTTTTTTACGATTTTTTATTATTTTTTATGATTTTTAATTACTTTTATGATTTTGTTATGAATTTAGACATTCATTATGAATTAATACCAGTGTTCTAAAAGGCGTGAGGCGTGGCAAGGCGGCAAGGCCAAGCCTCAAGCCTTTGAAGCCTAAGCGGGAATAGGCGAAGCCTAGGCGTGAAAAGGCGTTTAAGATTTCTGTTGATAATTACTACTCCTCTAGTCCTCTGTCCTATATAAATGTTCTTACTTTTCTTTTTTAGGCTCCTATATAAAGGTTCGTAATTCCATTTAAGAAAATAATTAACAATCTTAACATCCTAAAATATTAAATTTAATACATTTATAACATCACAACTATCAACACTAACATCATTATGTTATATACCTATCAAAATTATTTCTCAAAATATACTCGGACTACTTTATTTAATTATTATCTAAATAACTGTGTCATTTTGTTATGCGCAGAGCCTTTCAATGGGACAGAAGTAATATTTTACAATAATATATGATAGAAAGGAATAGATATCTAAAAAAATATTATTCAAGATTGAACTTAAGTTTTATTTTGATCAATATATATATATATACCATTTAAATATATATAAAAGATCAAGTACAAAATGATATAATATTGCTTTTACTACTCATTAGATTTCCTATATGACATGATTATGAAATTGTTTCTTTAAATTTAATCATTTTTTCTAGAAAAAGTAATTTATTTAAAAACTCCCGTGTAGGCCTCGACTTTTTATATATTAAGAGTAATAATTATCATATAATAATGATCTTATAATTATTGTAATTGTAATAACGATTAATAATTATTTTATAACAATAGAAATTATGAATACTCGTATATAATAATCTATAATCATGTGATAATAGTACTTATGATTATACAATTATAGAACAATAATAAATATTATAGTGTATATATAGCAATAATTATTGCATAAAAATAGCAACAAAATGTTGGTCACTAAGCATTTCGTACTAGTATTATTTATGAGGTACTCTCTCTTAAGAGTAGTAGTTGAAAAATGCTTTTAAGCCAAGTATTATTTGCCTTGCAACCAGGAGTCTTTTCTCGTTCATGATAGCTTTAGGAGGTTACTTTTTCTTATTTTGTTGCATGCCACATTCCCACACCGGAAGGAGAAGAAAATTTGCTCCTTCCAACACGCTATAAAACAAGTCAGTCCCCTCATATTGAAATACTTCGCAGCACATGTTCTACTTCGTAATTGTGCAGCCTTTATACTTAAAATTTTACTTTTTAGTAGCCCAACCCGCATTCGGTCACGCATAATGGGTATGCGGGGCGTATGGGCCACGCCTTGCGCCTAGGCCCGCCTTTGCGGCGCCTTTCCGGGCCTTTTAGAACATTGATTAATACCCTTAGGAGTATTTAGGGTAGAAATCAATGTTTAGTCCTACCTGAAGGGAATAAAAAAGTAGTAGTAGTCCTATTTGTGCATTTTAGGTTATTTTTAGTCCTATTTAGAGCGATTTGTATAACATGAATGACATATGATGAAAACATTTTAATTACGGATTATTTCCTAATGGACCTAAGCCAGTTTTAAACCAAGCCAAACTGAAAATAACAAAACAAACTCAGTCGAAAATGCCCATTCTTATGTACTACACGTCTACACCATGGAAGTATGGAACATGACCATCTGTGCACCTATGTTCTAACTTCTAACTAATCTTTATGCAATGAACCAAATTAAAACACTTATTATATTAAAATCCTGAATAAAAAAGTCCCATATAAAAACATACCTGGCTGTCATTTTGAATCCTGTCGAGGGCCTTCCCATATATTTTGTACCTAGAAAACATCAAAAGCACTCCAAGCTAAATAATGATGGATAATAAAGAAATCCTTCAGTAAAATAGTGAAAACTTCTTACTCTTTTGGTTGAAAAATAAGTTCCTTGAACACAGCATATCCAGCTGCTGAAGCAACTCCTAACCCAGCAAGAATGGCAACACTGTAGGAAGCTCCCTCTGTAAATGTTATTGGTTTCTCCGGGATATTGTATGTGGGAGCATCAAATGGATCATCAAAATTAGATACCTCTTTCCTGCCCTACACAAGTAAAATATTGGGATTTCAAAAGTCAACTGAAAACTATATCTGCAGGGGTAGAGATATTATATCTTGCATACTACTTGATTAAAGAAATTCTATGTACTACGTTGATACCACTATGGCACTATGGCATTACATTTTTCGGTGGACAAATACTTTTCAGAGGTAGAAGCAGCGGCAGTAGTGGAATTACTCTAGATGATAAGGAGATGATAGTGATATGTTCTGTTACTTGGGATCCATAATTGAAAATAACGGTTCATGTTAGCTGGCCCAAAAATATTTTGGGACTAAGGCTTGGATGTTGTTTGTTGCTATGTTGCATGAAAATGTGAAAATCATGAGAAAACGGTAAAAGTCATCTTTTACTCAAAAAACATCTGTTTGGAAAGTTTCTCAAACGGAAACCTATTCTTTCCAGAGTTTCCATGCTACATAGGTTTGTTGTTGTTGTGGACAAATATTTTTCTATACTTACATTGTACCCTTATACTTGGGTGAGTTGTTCACAGCGAGTCCTTTTTGTGAACTATTTCAGTATAAATAATTACTTAAATTTAATTTTGAAACTACATTCATTTTCTTTTAAAACATTACTCCCTGGCCAATTCCATTAAATTTGAAAAAATAAGAAGCTAAATACGTAGTACAATACTACAATTTTATGCATTAAAATGACAAATAAACATTTAGAGTTGTTTAAAAATGCCTCCATTACACTTTTGAATTCAATATATACTAGTCACCACTAACGCATTGGATCTCTCATTAAAGTAATACTTTCGAACGAACATTGCAATAGTATTAGGCTCTGAGACTAAGTTAACCACCTTTCGAAAGGCAGGTCAAAATTATTAAAATTAATTCTAATGGGACTACTTTTGCCAATCTTATTTAGTCACGGGACAAGACATGTGTTTATTACTAGACAAATATATGTTGGCATTAGAACAAACTAAATAAGAACAGAAATGTGAAACGAAAAACAATATTTTTAAAAACTACTACCTCCGTCCCGCTAAGATTGTCCCATTTTACCTTTTCGATCCGTTCCACTAAGATTGTCTCATACCAAATTAGGCAAAATTTGTGTGGCTCCAAATTATTCTTACTTTATTTTTACTTTATCAATGCAATATCAACCACATAACTCACTTTTTATTAGTTTGCGTGTCACTCCCTCTTGTCCCATTGTTAGCGGGACGGAGAGAGTATATGATACGAAAAAAAGGTGAAGCCCAAAGTTCTAATATGTGTGTGTGTTTGTGTAATTATACACATATTTTTCATATAAACTTTGCTATAACAAAAGACTAAAGTAGTCTAGTTGTTCAAATGTAGACATTATTCACATATTAATTCATAACTAAGTGTAAAATATAGCAAACATCTAGCAAGACATGCTATGAGGAACTTTTATTGAAAAATCCATCAAGATTCTCATAAAAAATATGCTATTTTCCATCAAGAAATTTCATCAAAGGTAAAAAACAATGAGCCTAACATTTTCTGAAATGCTAATTAATTAGGGAAGCTGGTTTCCCAATTTATTTTCATTCAAGTGACAGAACTGAAATGGAAATTTGAGGTTTTCTGATTTCGTAAAATGCCAAACCATTTGTCGCTTCTTATGGTTAACCCATAACTTCTTGATGATAAGACCGCAATGTCCAACTAAGAGCAATCATATAATCCCTCCTTTTCCTACATCCCTTCCTACTTTGATCTTGTAAAACCAGGACATCTTTGAAGTTGAAACATTATTATTTGCATCTATAATTACACAAACAAATGATTTGATTCAACTGTATACATCACACAAGGGTGTTAGTTTGTTACCTCTGATTGCTTTTGTCCAGATGATGGTTCAGATGGCTTTGAAGCAAAAGTTCTAGCAAAGAAGGGTGCTTTGAAGCTTACATAATTGGCATTGGCAACCTGAAATGGTGCCCGAAAGTGTGTGAGGTGGTTTAAGATTAAACAACCTCTGAATATTAAAGGATATCCTGCAGAGACATTAACAGTCTATCTCAGCATGAAGTTAAGTGAAACTTTATTAGAAATCATTTCATGCTCCCATTGTTTTCAGAAACATGTTAATAATTTTAGAATTGCTTTAGAGTTTTCATAAATAAATAACTTAAAACAAATAGGAGATTTTCAAATTGTTTTCAGAAACATGTTTCTAAAACATGTTTCTACAAAACATCATCTTCATGTATGACCTGTTAAATTAGAATGAATTATCAATAAGCAACAATAGGAGATTTTATTGCATAGCCAAGAGTAGATATTGAGATGTGCCAACAACATGAGGCATCTATTAACAACACATAATGCTAGGAAAACATTTATACAACCGAAAGGTAACTGTAAGCTATGATAGAATATAAGAATACTACATAGACATACTATGAAAGAATAATTAAATGAAGTTCATCAGTGTTAGCTCCCCACTTTCTATTTTTGCTTACTAACATCATAAGGAAAGACATAATTATCCTTACTCTTTCATTCTTTTTTTAACTTTTTAGCTGCTCTTTCCTACTTTCTACACTTTCTCGATAGTACTCACTAGTTACTACCCCACCAATTTTGGTCCTAGATTCTGTGAAAAGCCTTTGGTGAAAAACTCAAATGAAAATAATAAGTATTAATTTAAACCCTGGATGAATGAAACAATCAATCTTAGGCCCATAAGAAACCATGAATTTTGAAACATTTATTTTTAATTACTCTGGCGTTTAAAAAGAAATCTCTTCACGGATAATATAAGGGTTTTACTGTTTTAGTATAGAATTTAGTAGAAATACTTAAGTTTAAAATAGGGATATTCAAGCAAATAAAATGGAAGGGATTTAGAAGAAAACAATGAAGAACAAAGAGACGAAGAAGTCTAAGAAGTAAAGTCAATGTTACTCCAAAGACATACCTTTACGACAGAGTTATCAATGGCGAGTATTGCACTGGTCATATTTCTCCATTGGCGTTTGAAGGCCCCTTCGGCGGCAACGGAGACCATCATGCATGTGATGGCGCCACTTTTACGCCACCGCCACGCCATATTTTCCCTATCTAAGCCTGAGAATAACAAACGCAAGAAGCAGAGATGAAGATTATGAGGCTAGATGTCAGAGGAGCAAGTGTAGAGATTTCATTGATTTGCAAAAGGGTTTCCTATATTGTATAAACGGGTTGGGCTTTATTGGATTTGATTTCCTATATTTATTACTCTCTTCATTCACAAAACTTGAACATATCATTTTTACTCAATGATCAAGTTTGATCAATCATACAATAGTATTTATTTGTAAGTACTAGGGGTGGTTTGGTAAGGTATACCGAAATATGCATGCCATATCGCATACCATACCAAAATGTCGGTATCTGCAAATGTCATACAGTTACCATACCAAAAATACCAGTATACTGAAATTCATTTAGCATGTAATCGTTTAGCATAAAAACCTTAGCAACTTAGCAAAATTATAATATCTTCCATATTTTTATCGAACAAGATTGAAGTTTTACCACTGCATATGCAAACAGCCAAACACAGATAGAGATTTACAGTAAGCATTTTAATTATTAAATTACATATAAGAGATTTCATCATTTCAACCTTTTTTCTGATTCTCATTAAAAAATAGTTTAAAAATAGATAATAATCAAGAGTTCCAAATGAAGCCAGCACTAAATTGCATTACAACAGTCACAGAACAACCAGAACTAAAGATAAAAGATGTGTGAGTCGTGCGACAATTCTCCTAGGGATTCGTAGTTGTGCTATATTAGATTATTGGCAGAATAAAGACCATATTGAACTTATTACCTTGATCGACAAGTCTAGCGGTCAAATGATAAAAGTCGTCCGCGGCTCCGGGCTTCCCTCAATGGCGTTTACTGTCGTGCGTTGTATGGCTAGCCTTCTGCCGTTCTGCGCGAACTTGGAGAGCTTGGCTTTACTTTGGTTAGGGACTTGGGGAGCGGACAGGTACTAAACTGGGTTTGTCATTTTGGGCCTTAATATTTTACTAGTTTCATTTGGAACGCGTTTGGTAGCACGAAAATCGGCTGATTTGGCTCATTCTGCTGAAATTTTTGAAGTTCTGGATTAAGTGACTGCGTTGCTGATTCTCCTTATTTAACAAAAATATTTTCAAAATATATATCATTAACAAAATGAAGGAAAAAATTATATGTAAAATTAGCTAAAATGATCATCTACAGTAACTTCAGCCAATACAGCCAGAAAAGTAACTTCAACCTTACTTTTTCTGCTTATTACACAATTCAGCGCGTGAAATCAAAAGTTATGTGATTGGTGAAAAAGTTGGCTGATAAGCCTTATAAGCTGAAAAAGGGCGTCGCCAAACAGCACCTTAGTGAGTTTGGCATTAGTTATTTTACAGGTTTATTGAACTATTTACTGATTGGGCCTTCAATATTATCGATATACCGGCAATGTTCTAAAAGGCGTAAGGCGTGTCGAGGCGACGAGTTTATATGTCGCCTAGGCGTGAAAAAGCGTTTTGAATTTTTACCTATTTTCAAAATTAATCCAAAGATATTTGTAAGCATATAAATACAGAGTATAATATAATACAAGAAAATTTCATCCAAAAATGTTACGGAGTATAAGGACTCAAGGAGTATGTTTCAATGAAAATTATATGTATTCCAGCCAGAGAGCCCTCTCGGTTTCGACCTGGGGTTTTGTCCAGCGGCGAGCTTTCTTGGCTAGCCACCGTGTCTTTTATTTGTTGGAGGGGTTTTTGTCCGGCGGCAGGCTTTCTTGGCTAGCCACCGCGTCTTTTATTTGTTGGAGGGCTTTTCGTTTGGAGTATTGACGGACAACAAGGTGAAGGTTTCGGTCTGCTTCGAATTAGGCGTGTTGCTTGAAGACTTCTACGACGACGGTATAAGCCGCTTCGTCGGCGGATATGGAGGTGGAATTTTTTTTTTTTGGATTTTTGTTTGATTTGTCTCTTTTCGGTCTGTGAAGCTTTGTGGACAAATACAAGATGATGGTGACTGGCGCTGAGAAAGAAAAACTGGATCAGAATAATGCTGATTTTGAAGTTGTGGCGGATGAACGGCGGGCGCGTCCCCCTCCTAAGCCGCCACCGTGGAATGCAAGCAAAGTTAGGGTTTGGAAGAAGATGAGTGGATTCTATTTTAATTTCGTTTTATTCAGTTTGTGCTTTTCTGTCGAATTGTATGTTGTTTGATTCTGTTTTGGTGTTTGTTTTTCCGTTTATTTTCCAGTTTGTAAGACGCTGATTTTGGATTTGGGGGATGAGAGGAATTTGGTAACCGAGTTAGGCTTTTTGTTTCTTGGTTATGGATCAGCGAATTATATTGTTACTGCGATTAATTCCGAGTCTGGTTCGAGGGATGACGGTTATCAGTTTTCTTTTTGCAGTTGACCCATACTCTGAACTTTTATTGGTTATTTATCTAAGCCGATTTCGGTCAAAAGGAGTATGTTTCAATTTTTAACAATTTTTAAGATTTAAAAAGTACAAAATGTAGATGTACCTTCTCGAAGTCCAACAAAGACTAGAACGAGAGAAGTGTTGAATGATACTCCGTATAATAACAATGATAAAAACAATAATAATTACAATAATAATAATATTATTGACAACAATGACATTAGTAATAGTAATAATTACAATAATGATATTAGTATTATAATCAGGGGCGGAGTTAGGGGAGGGCCAACTCAGGCCCAGCCCAAAATTTAAAATTCTCTAAATTTTTAGTGTAAAAAATTCTGTGTAATTTTCTTTTTTAAATCTTCTTTATACCGGTCCAATCCAATGCACTGGCTACGCCTCTGATTATAATAATACTAATATTATTATTAAAAGTAAGATTGATCCGAGGAAGTGGTCCAGCCCAACTGGTCGTTGACTCATTCTTCCTAATGGGAAGTCCTGGATTCAATTTTCAATGAAGTGAGATTGATATCAGTTTACCTCAGACCCCAAACCCCCCTCTCCGGCGCCCCGGGGTAAAAAGATACTAATAATTACAATAATACAATAATATTAATTATAATTATAGTAATGATATTGATGTTGAAGAAAATCTAGATGTTTTTACCAAACTTATTTCGGATATGTCTATAGATATTGAAGAAAATCTAGATGTTTTTACCAAACTTATTTCGGATATTAAGTTGTGTGGTGATAAGCATATAGATGATTATTCTCCCATTGCTCTTTTAAATGTTATTCCTGATTCCTTTAGTGATGTGAAATCTGCTATTAAGTATGGTAGAGATAATGTGACTCTTGACATTGTGGTTAATGGTCTTAAGAGTAAGGAATTAGATGTAAAACAGATGGGTGAGGGTAGAAAATCCGAGGAAGTTTTGCATGTGAGGGGTAGAGATAATAGTAGACGACATAGATCTAAGTCTAGGTCTAATTCGAGGCGTTGCTATTATTGTCACGAATCTGGTCATTTCATAAAAGACTGTCCTAAATCTAAGAAAAATGAGCATAGTGAGCATGCTAATTTGACTACGTGTGAAGATGATTTAGGTGATGTTTTTATGATGAGAAATATATGTGATTTTGACTACTTGAGTTCTGTGATATCTGATTCTTTGGTTAAATCAGATTGGGTGGTAGATTCTGGTTGTAGTTTTCATATGTCCCCTTTGAAAAATGTTTTTTCAAACTATAGAGAGATTGAGCATGGCTTTGTGTCTTTAGCAAATGAGAAGAAATGCAATGTGCTAGGAATAGGAGATGTATGCCTTAGGTTTTCTTCTGGTTATGTGCTTACTTAGAAGAATGTTAGGCATGTTCCTGAGCTGTGTTGTAATTTGCTATCTTGTGCTTCTCTTGAAAATGTGGGTTTGAAGGGAAAATGGGGAAGGGAATCATGAAAGTTGTGAAGGGTTGCTTAGTTGTTTTCAAAGCTGAGATGAAAAACAACTTGTATGTTTGTCATGCTGAACCCCTACTTGATTCTGTGAATTGTGTGCAACCCTGTGTGCTAGGAAAACAGTCTAGAGTTGGTTTTCCTGATCTGCCTAAGTGTACTGATGTGCTTGATTGTATTCATGCTGACTTGTGGGGTCCTTATAGTGTTTCCACTCATGGTGGGAAAAATTATTTTCTGACGTTGATTGATGATTTTTCAAAGAAAGTGTGGGTTTTGTTGATTGAGAATAAATCTGAAGTTTTTGATAAGTTTAAAAACTGGAAAACCCTTGTTGAAAAACAAACCGGTAAGAAAATTAATTTTTTAAGGACCACTGTCAGTTTTGATTTCTGTGATAATCAGCTTAGTGATTTATGTGATACTTGGGGTATTTCTATGCATAAATCTGTTCCCTCCACACCCCAACCGGATGGGGTTGCTGAGAGGATGGTTAGAACTTTATTAGAGAGGGTGAGGGCTATGTTAGCTTCATTTGGGCTCTCTAATAAGTTCTGGGGGAAGCTATTTGTTATGTTGTTGATGTGGTTAATCTGTCCCCGTCTGTTCCCTTAGGAGGGAAATGCCCTGAATCTGTGTTCATGGGCAGACCACTTAACTTGCCAAATTTGAGAGTGTTTGGTTGTGCTGCTTACGTGAATCGTGTGAATGATAAATTTGAACCTAGGACTAAGGAATATGTTTTCTTAGGATATCATGATTGCATGAAAGGTTATAGGCTTTGGTGTAGGAGTGAAACTTGCTTCAATGTGTTGATGAGTAGAAATGTCATTTTTGTTGAAAATGAATTTCCTTGCCTGCTTGTTTCTCCTGATGTTGCTCCAAATGAGGTGGAGCATTTGCCTGAAGTTCATTCCGATTTACTTGTTGAAACCAAACCCAAATTTGTGAATGAAAATGTTTTTCATGGTGAAAATAGAGAAAATAATATTTCTATTAAGGTGGAGCATGATATGAATGTTGTGTGCAATATGCTTGAGTTGCGTGATTGCCATGTTATTAGAGATAGAGACATTAGGAAGCATGAGAGAAATAATATGTGCAATGTGTTTGACTATATTTCCTCTGAGTTTGCTTTAAATGTGCTTAATTCTCTATTAATTAAAATCTTTGTGATATTTGGTATGCTATTTTCTTTGTGTTTTGAAAATGAGATACCAAGTGATTATGTGAGCTCTACCTGTGCTAGTTATAGAAATAATATTGTTTCTTTTATTTTCTGTGTACTTGCTTTGTGTGGTTGTTGGATTAGTTGGAATCCCCAACTTCTCCCGGATGCTTGCCTGCGTGGACATACCTTGTGTTTGTTAATAGCATTGTGATGGTTTCGGTTTTGAACTCGAGGACCTTATGGTAGAGTTAAGTCCTTTATGGACTCGGTAAGCTTGGTGATTTTACCCCGAGAGTACTTGTGTCTCTCTATTACTTGTATTGTCTTTGTGATTATACTTGTAATGATCCGGCAATGATGAGTCCGCGGTTCCATGATTGTCTAAGTGCACTACCTTGGGCCAAAGGTGGAGATTGTTAATATATTGTTGGCCCAAACGTTTTTTGTATATTAATAATGGTCAACACACTTTCTAGCAGCCCACTACAATGTACCCATTTATCTATCTGGTCTATCAATATTTGCCTCTCCCGTTAGAATTTGAATCTAACGCATTATTGAGCTAGTGATGAGTTGTGTGTGCAGTGTATTATTTGAGTGTCCTTGTGAGCTCTTCTAATAAAGCCAAAATACTTCCCTGTTATAACCACACCCCCGGCCCCCTTTGTTCTGTGTGTGAAACTCAGAGTGTTTCCCCCTTCATCTTCCTCTTGGTGAGTGAAGCTATTATCCTTCTTTGTGAGGTGAGAATCCTTCTTGGATAGGTGAGTGTGAGTGTTGGCGAGGCTAGAAAGGTGTGTTGCTCCCTTAGCCTAGGTGTGCACAAGAGACAACCGGAAAACCGACGTCCGGACTGCCTGAGCCGGAATCCGGTGATGGAATCAATCCTCAACACTGGCATTTTAAAAGAAAAATCTTCACAAGTAATATATAGGTCTTAATAAGGAATTATATAAAAATACTGAAGTTTAAAACAAGGATATTCAAGCAAATAAAATTGAATGGATTTACAGGAAAACAATGAAGAACAAAGAAGAGATGAATAAGTCTCTGAGAAGTAAAGTCTATGTTACTCTAAAGACATATCTTTACGACAGAGATATCAATGGTGAGTATTGCACTAGTCATATTTCTCCATTGGCATTTGACTTTGAAGGCCCCTTTGACGGAGACCAACATACATGTGATGTCGCCACTTTTACTCCACCGCCACACCATATTCATCGTATCCAAGTCTGAGGATAACAGACGTGAGAGCTAGAGATGAAGATTATCATGATGTCAGACGTAAAAGGGGTGAGTGTAACGATTTCTTTGATTTGCAAAATGGAATCAGGTGCGCTTCAAGCTGTGTCAGAGATTTTGCACACGAGTAGGCGGAGTAGCTCTACTTCTTTTGATTTGATTGCAGGTGATAATAGAGAATTTACATCTAGTTGTAATAGCACTGGTTTTCCTCATGTTTTGAGTAGCGGGTTTTATGTACGATTGTGGAATTTGGTTCAGGGTTCCTTCTTCTTTTTTGTTATATATACACGTTCTGAGTCAAGATTTTATTAGTAAATAGTAATAGTTGATTGTGTTTTCAAAAAAAAAAAAGCACGGCAGCTAGAACTAACCCGGAACTGATAGTTTAATAGCTGGAGTGAAATTGGCCTTGTCCAACTCTAATTTGTAGTTAGGGGTGGACCCAGTCCCAGTTCCGATCTTGGACCGGCCAGTCCTGGTCCCCCAACCTTAAGCCCGGATCAGAACTGACCCGAAATGATAGGAGTCTTGGTGCAGTCCCAAATCCGGTCCCAGGAGGCCAGGACGGTTCGGGTTTTGTTCGTTTTTTGAATAAATAACAAATGCACATTAAAAAAATTAAATGTAGATTTATTTCAAAACAAAATTGACTTAAATTACAACTGAGAATAGTTAAAACTTTAAATACATGAACTAATCATCGGAACCGCTTCCGATATCGATTGTCGTTTCCTCCATGCAGATGCAGACCTAGAAAATTCATCTGGGGTGGGGGGTGGGGGGGTTCAAAATATTTTTTGGGGGGCGAAAATTATTTTTTGAGGGAGTGAAAATTATTTTTCGTATATATATATACACTAAAAACAATTGTTGGGAAGGCGGTGATCCGCCCCTGCCTCCATGAAGTGGTGATCCGGTGCTATGTTAACTTATTGCGTTCGTGGAAGCAAATGAACGTTTCAAGATATTGCACGCTCATTGCTCAACCTCGCTAAAATCTTGGTCCACTGCAAGTAGAGGCGTGGTTAGGAGTAAGAGTTGGGCTGGGTCGGTACAAAGAATTTCTACAGATAAATTTTTATACATAAATTTTTACATTAAAAATATAAGCAATTTTAAAATGTAGGCTAAGTCGTGGCTCGGTTAGCCACCCCTCCACCTCCGCCCCTGACTGCAATTGTTTTTTTATCATTCATTCTAACCTATATAGTATTTGCTCAATGTTAATGTCAACATCCATGAACTGGGATGAGATTCGAACCTGTGACCTCCTCATTAGGAGTGTCACAGTGATGCCATCAGACCACAAGGTACTTGGCCCCTGACTACAATGGTTGAAACCGGCATTGACAACACTTATTTTGCCATTTTTATAAAACGGGAAACATCTCTTTGTGGCTCTTCCACCATCGGAGAATGTCAAAGTCTTCTTCATTATACTCGACATGAACCATTAGATATAAAGAAAACTCACGAATCGAGATTTGTCCAAAGAAAGGAGTAGATTTACTTTTTTTCAAGAGATTGGATATTGCAGATTTAAAAAGACTTTTTTTTAGATGAAGAAGTAGTCGGTTTCAACGGAGGAAGTACGTTACTATATTTTGCATGAAACTCATTAAATAAATTATGAAATAGATTACTAACCTAATTGAATTAGGCTTGAGGATCTATAGGGGTGTCATCGTACATAGAGAAGTCACCGTAGAAAGCATTATACTACTATAAGATGCTAATCAACAAACAAGACTAATGAGAAACTTGATTCACAATAAATAATTTTCAACAAAATGTTAGATGAATATCATGCCACCCTTACATCAAATATTTTTCCAATTCCATTCTTTCATTAATTTAAAAGGGATTCCATCACGAGTTGTGGTTTCTTCAACATTGGATCGGAATATTTAGGGTAGTCATCTTTCAATGGAAATTGTCCCTTCCACGTGAGAACATAGTGGACAAGACACAAGCCCTCCACCGTCCTCTTCTACATATTATAAAATTAGAATAAGTTAATACATACGTAGTATATGTCAAATATTCTCAAAATTGAGCACAAAATTGTGTAATAACTAGGGAAAAGTACTAAATATGTTCATGTGGTTTTTGGGCCTTTTTTGAAGTACCCGGTAGGCAAACCACCTAAGTCTGTGTGGCAAATATAATGTCGGGGAACATTTACCGAATTTTATTAATAAAAGATAAAAAATACAAAAATAGAGGGAGACCAAACCAAAACCTCTCTTGAAATAAATGCAAGAAAAAGTGCAGAGAAAAAGTAAAAGAATAAATAAAAAAACATAGGGGGGGCTAGATCTGACCCAATGTAAAGAACAAGGGAACTTAATAATATCTAAAGAAACCAAGACCAAGCTTATCAGTAATCATAGCTTTCCTAATATGGCAAGGAATATGAACATAATTATAAATAGTTCTGTTATCACATAGAGACACGTGTTTCATTTTTTTTAAACAAATTTGACATGCGTTTCAATTCTGTTATCACAACAGGGACATGACGTCTAACGTCATTAGAATTCGTGAGAGGAACACGATGAATAGTAATTCTGATGTTCAAAAGTGTCCGAAAAATTAAAAGACAAATACAAGCTAGAGACATCCAGACCATATTGATCTTTTTTTTTGGATCTCTTTGGATTGTATTTTTTTAATGAATTCGCTAATATCACCTTTTCGGCGGACTTTCCAGCGACAAAGGTGGTTGGAAACGAAAAAGAAAGATGTTCTCGAGAATTCCTTGACGAGACGCACCTCATATATAGTATTTTTCCTCCAATTATTTTTTGGGCATTTTTGAAAATCGGAATTACTAGTCGTCTTCTTCCTCCGCCGATTTCAAACGGCGTTACGCGTCATGCCCTTGCTGTGATAACCGAATTGAAACACATATCCTACTTTGTTAAAAAATGAAACACGTGCTCCTACACCCGTATATGAAAATGATCCAAATCACATATTTACATTTTTCGTACTTTTTCCTAATAACTAATATAGGTGTTACTACTACTATAGCTATGGTTATAGCTATACAGCTCTAGACCTCTAGCTCTGTGAGTATATTAATAGTAATAGTAACAATAATAATAATAAAAATAACAATAACAATAGTAATAAGTACATAGTATTAATAATAACAATAATAACAACAACAACAACAGTAATAATAACTTTAATTACCAGTTGCAAAGAAGATGCACACAACGATTTCAATGCTTTGTAACAGTTCTCGTAGTGAACCGAGATTTGATCATTGTCAACCTCAAAAGCCCTAGCAATAAAACAAAACTTTTATCATCTTTAATCAATCTTACGTCTTTCCAATATAATAACATTAGAATTTTTGCTAAAAAGGTCAAGGTATGTTTGTGACACGAGCTAGAGCTGGAGGCTAATGTTTGAACTAGAGGCTGTTGTTTGAATAAGAGATTATTGTTTAGAATTGAACTTTGAAGTGTTAAATATGAATGACCAACTGAATGAAGTAGATCTGTTTGGTAAAAAGAGCCGAAAAATGTCGGAATAATGTAAAATTACATTAGATGACATGATTTATTAATGGAACAGAATATTGAAGCATTGAATTTATATATTATAATAAATTCATCAAAAATTGAAATCGCGTTTTTTTTTAAAAAGTGTATCAAAACTCCAGATTTTTTTATATTCCAAGAATCATCATTTAAAAGAAAAAAACAAATAATATGAAACATGGAGACATCTTTATTGGATTGAAGAGAAATTCTTGCTTAATTGCTTAATTGCAAGATGGTTGATGAATGGGCAATTTAGGAAGCAATTTAGGGGCAACCCATGTAATTATACTTCAACTCAATTCACCCTTCCTCCCAGTTTCTAAACAACGCTACTCATATTTTAATTAGCTAAAAATTTGAAATTTCAGCTCATTATGGGCTGAACACCAGTGCCCAACATAGCCTAAAGCATCAAAGAAGTAGCTTCCAGAACCCAAATTTAAAAATGAAAAAACATAAATACTCCAAATATTTTAATAGTTAATTGTATTTTTCTTGTGACAATATACTTATACTCTACTGAATTATTACAAATTGGTCTTCTTGTCCATATATAACACATAAAATAACATTTTAAAATAAATATTACGGAGCATAATATATTACAAATAAACTAAGATTTAAAGGAAAAATGTAGAGACAAATTATATAGTACAGTCGGTTGTAACAAGGGCATCATGCAACCAGCATTTTTTTGTAATTAATTTCTATTTCTTTTGAGGCAATAGTTAAGTTCGTTCTGTGCGTTGTTTTTCTTTGTTCCCCATCAAGTTTCTTCATTCTTGGCTAGTGGCTCCTGCAGTCCTGCTCGTGAGTTTTAATTTTTATGTTTTTTTTCTTTTTTCATTTCTTTCTTTCGTTGCTTTTACTTGTTCTTCTTCTTTCTTTTTCTTTCTTTTTCTTTCTTTTTTCTGTAACAAGCTTTCCTTAATGTTCTTTTTTCTCCAATTATTATGAAAATGTATTATATAGAACTTTATTTAATATTTGAGTTTTTTTTCTTTTTCCAATCAACTTTCTAACTTAAGTTTTGTAATCTAATGAATTATTACAAATTGGTCTTCTTGTCCATATACTCCGTATATAACACATAATATTAATGTTTTGTTTTCCTATTTTTAATATTAAGATGAATATTTATTCGTTTATTAAATATTATGTGTTAATTACTAACATGAATATTGTGTTATACTAAAATGAATATTGTGTAAAATAAATGTGCATGAATAAATATTATAAAAACAACACGATTATATTTGTAATTCAACAACAAAAAACTATACATTATCTTTAATATAACATTTTTATATTTCTCATTGCTATATATAATGATAGTTTATTAAATTGTTAATAACGAATCTATTAAATGTACTTATTATAGAAAAGAGTTTACTTTTTCATTCAAATTAGTAAAAAGATTAAAATAAATTAGTACACACAAATGGATATTTGAGCACATTAGAAAATTCAAATAATCTTTTGAATTTTTTGATGCTCATTTTGTAAGGTACGTATGCTAATGTGTGGTTTTATGCTCATTTTAAAGTGTCACATCAGTGCATATTTCAAACCTATCATACTACATTAGATTCACATAAGAGTTAATTATAGACAGAGTAGAGATCATGATATATATAATCAACTCTCATGTGAGGAAGCGGTCCAGCTCAACTGGTCGCCGACTAACTCTTCCTTATGGGAGGTCCCGGGTTCGAAACTCAATGGAGTGAGTTTCAACCCACTTTACTCCAGGCTCCCCCAGAAGCCCCCTGGAGTAAAAAAAAAATCATGATACTCAATTGCATGCTTCTAATACTCAATAAAGAAGGTTTGATGCTCAATGAAAATGTCTTGATGCTCAACTATCAAGCTTATTATTTTCATATCAATGCTCATTTATAAGTTATGTATACGCATTTGGTAGTGGCGTTATGCTCATTTTAAAATGTCATATCAATGTTAATTTCAAAAATAGCATATTATATTAGATGTGTGTGTTGAAATTCGTAGGAGTTCATTATAGATATAATTTGTTTGAGATTTTTTTATAAAAGAAAAATAAGATAAAGAAATAGAATCAAATGGTATAAAGCAGAGATCACGATGCTCATTGTTAGACTCCTAATACTCAGCAAGAAATGTTCGATGCTAATTAAAATTGCATCAATGCTCATTTAAGAGAAATATTGACTTCCACCAAAATTACAAAATTGCCATCGACTGTATGGGGCAAGCCGTACATCTGGCTGTACGTTATACACACTTGAATACAGATGTGAGAAAAAAAGTGAGTACCTCACCACACCCAGAGCCTTGAGGAAGATGTGAACTGATGCAGGTTGATTAGTAAACCATCAAGGTAAACCATTCATAATGATAGTTGGCGACTCTAACAAAAATAGAAGTAAATAAAATGGAAAAAAGAGATGTTATTAGAGTAAATTCATCACACAATTCATGGAAAATACGATATGTTTTAATTTTGTATTAGCTCAATTCAAGTTGAGCTCATTACGTGGCTCGGTAATAGTGATATTCGGGTACGAACTGAAGCTCGGTGAGCATTATAATTGAGGCTAATGTTTAGAAGTGTAGTGTGTAGCAAATAGCAATTGCTTTCAACATGCTCGAGCTCGAATGGAGCCTAAGATACAACAATGCTTGACCTCGGATCGTTGGATCCGAAATCGAGCTCGAGCATCAAACAAAGACAATGAGAAAACAAAAGGGAAGGAAACCTTGATTATCGACCGGGATGTTTGAAAGGGAAGCCATCATTTGATCGGGATCTTCATCAGATGGTAGGGTCAGCTCAACTTGATAGGGGGCACCCATATATTTCACTCTATATGTGCCATGTTCCTTCAACAAGCAATTCCTGAGGCTCAAGCGAAACTCCGTAGATACCAATCTCTCATCCCTATAGAAAAAGTGGCCGTCGGCTAAGACCCACCTCTCTTTGCCTTCATCAGTAACAGTCCATTTGAAGGAACACACCATATGAACGTGAATGTCATGAAATGGAATTTCGAGAGGACTGGGAAAAACATAACAACTCTCTAAGCCACAAGAGACAATAAAGTGTACGTTGGACACATCCACAGGCCTGACAATAGGACCCATGCAGCCAAGGGTGTAGTTGAACTTAATGCGTGGAACCAATGATAAGGACAAATCTTCATCCACTTTTATACATTCTGGTGGAGGAGGAAATGGCATGTAGGGGATGGCCTTTGGGATTTGAACTGGAGCATCCACAGTTGTTTCTTTCTTCCCAGCATCCATCAAAACAGAAGTACTTTTGCATTCATTTTCACCATATGATTCCTGAGCTGAAGAAGTTTTTTCACTTTCATCTGCCACTGTTTTTCATGAAAAATTAACACATAACAATCACCAGTTTTTTATGTCATAAACAACTAACATCAAATCCGTGCAATTTTTGTAGAGATGAAAAGAATAATGAGAATCATAGTAACCCATCGATCAATAAGATTTGTGTGAACTCGTATCAGATCATCACAAGTTGAGCAAAGTTCAGGGCTTTTGTTATTATGATGACAGAGCAATTTCGAGACAGGAAGTTCACAATGCTGCTTTAAGCTACTGTCTTGAACAAGCTATTGAAGATGGGTTAGACTTATGCCCTTGGACCTCTTGGTCAACTTTATTAAAAAATGATCTTATCAATTCACAACCTTAAAGATAAAGGTGTCGATATATATGGCACTAAAAATCCTAGACTTAAAATCCCCTGTTTTTTTTAAATACCCGAGTATTAAATATTATTTAATCATATTAAACTAATAAACTTCTATGAAGTTAAAATCGTCAAATGTTTAACAATGGAGTTAATAAAAAAAATCAAAATATATGATATTTAGGTCTTAGATGGATTGATAAAATTTCTCAAAAAAACTAATGTCTAACTTAATCAAAATTCCAACTATTGATACGATTGCGTTTTGATACGTTAACTCTTAAATGAGTCAAATAATAACCACAACTGTACATAAATGTTTAAAAATATTGTTGGAAAATATTCATTTAGGAAAAGGAATATATCAACAAAATTGCAAAATACAAAACATAATGAACTCAGTAAGGTTCACTTGATACTTCGTACCAGTTTACTAAAAAGTTTAAACCGGCAATTTCATATACTGGTATGCAAAATCACGAAATATCTGTAAATTTAATCACAAATCATGAAATAGCAGACCATAAATTAAAGAAGAAAACCAAAACCAACCTGACCCTTCAGGCTCAATGTTATCTTGGGTTTTCATTTTTTGATGTCTGACGGAGGGAAATAAATTGTTGCCTGCAGGTCTCAAGTTGGATGCCTTTAGGCTTAAGTTTAATTTGCCAGACTATATATCTCACTCTCACAGAGCCATGCACTGATGGATGGAATATTTTGCTTAAAGATTAAGGCTTTGTTTGGCTATTTTTGCTTAAAGATTAAGGCTTTGTTGTGAAAACGGGTTGTGGATAGCGACCCAGGTTGAATTAGTTATTTTAATTAGCTTATTATGTTGACTTAAGGATAACTTAAGTAAGGAATTGTTTGGTCGATTTAAGGATAACTTATAGAGGTTAAAATGACCCATAAGTTCACTAGTACATACGGAGTATATATTTTTATTTGTTATTGCTTATAGGCGGGTTATAAGAATAGTATTTGTAATTATTACTTATATATGATTAAAATAAATGGAAAAGCACAGAAAAGGTATTTGTGATTTAACCCGTTTTCAGATAAAGTCATATGTTTCATTTTTGTCAAAATGATTCATGTGTTTAAATTATGGATGGACCGGGACGGGCCAGCCCGACATCCAGCGCGGTCCTCTTTAGATCCGGAGCCCGGCCCAATGGCTATAAAGGGCGGGCTTCGGGCTCGTTTTTGAGGTAAGACCCAGTCCGGCCCAATGGAAAAGTTTTGAGGCTAAAAACCTCCATCAGCCACAACCGTATATTTAGATTTATTTTTTTTATATATGCAATATCGGTGTCATACCAAAGATAATAACAATTTATGAACTTTGAAACATTTTTTTTTGTGAAATCCGGATTACAAATAAAATACGTTATACCAATTTTAATAAAGAGGGCTTTTTTAGCGCCCTTTGTGCTTTCTTCTTTCTCCTAACTTGCTAACGTCCTTTGTATTTTCTTATTTTTAAGAGAGAAAGTAGTTAACAGAGCTTTTTTGTTGACTCAATTTAAGTTGTTTTTAAATAAATGTTTTTGAACTTAATGTCTCCTTATTAACACTTTTAACCAATAAACAAAAAGTCTACTAATTGTAGCATGTTCATTTTTTTGTGTATATTGATGTCATATGAAAGACAATAAAAAATCACGGATTAAGAAAAATAACCCTTTAAAATTAATTACTTAGAAGATGAAATGGGAAGACGACATAATTATCATATGACTAGGGAAAAACAGCCTTTTAAAAATTAATTGTTTAGTTCAATCTAATAACTACAAGTGCTTAACGAAAATGAATCTGGAGTATATGAGAACAATAATCTTCTAAGCACCCCCAAATTATTTCAATAAATCAGTTTAATTTTTTAAATAACTTTGAAATCATTCATAAAAATAGGAAAAAGAGTGAAACATCATAAAATGCAAGTTGAAAAATTGAAATAGTAAGTCTACATGCATGTGTTAAAATTTGCTATATGCCTATATACACATTTGCCTTAATGATATCTCAAATCTATATGCACCTTTCTAAGTGAGAATATTTTGTAACTGGAACAATTGTTTCATCTCATTTATGAAAGTAAAAGTTATTTTTTACTTTAGTGTATATATTAATATAATCTTGATATATTTTCGCCGAGAGTTCCAGCTCTCTGACATTTTATTAATTACATTTATAACAACCATTCCTAACACTGAAAGTGTTGTTCAAGAACTAGATAAATAAGCTAGACTGAGTATAAAAGGTAATTCTTTTACTCATGGATGTAACTTTAATATAGTAATATTTGGTCATGAAAATTGAGATCATTTTATATTTTCTAAATATGGGACGTGTGTTTTTTATTTTTTATTGCATAGTTTCACATGTTTATGTTTCGATTGTAGCTACCTCTTGATGTGATGAGAATGTTTTATAGGTTTTATTTATCCATTTGACCTTCTAGGTAAACACTATCTATTAAAAGTCTAAAGCATGTTACTTCAAAAAAAAAAGTCTAAAGCATGTCACCGTTCTTCATTCAATAACACTTATTTTATTTAATAAAATCATATTACCCTCAATAACTCAACCTAATGAAAACTAAATTGATTGCTACCTGATAAGTCCGTATTTTGACACGTATTTGATGCGTGTTGAGATCGGCTTTTGATGATTTTCCTAGTTTTAAGGTGTTACAAGTATCAATTTTAGCTCAAGTTATGTTTACCGGGCGTTGGTTCGAGTTTTGTGTTATTTGTAGTCAAAATCAGGGAATTTGAGCCCGGTACCGGCACTTGAGGAACAATCGGGATGATTTGAGAAGCATTTGAGAATGATTTGATAGCTTTGGAGGTCACCGGAAGATTCAAGATGAAGATTTGAAGGAAAAAGAGCTCTAGGATTGGCTACGGGGTCAAGAGAAGATGAATGAAGCTTGAAAATGACGATCAGGATGACCTTCTGTCAATCGTTCAAGCATATCTCTTTGTCGGAACAACCAATGTACACGATTCAAGTTTCATATGAAATCCAATTTCAAGGGCTACAAATCATATGAAGACACCTTTCTGAGAATCTGAGAGGAAGAAGGTGAAAACAGACGATGAAGTCAGATGATCTCTGCTGCGATTTCAGAAAGACACCTTCCACCATTTTGATCATATCTGTCGATTGGATGATTCAAATCACATTAGGCAAATTGGGGTGGATAGAAGACTTCATTATATACAACTTTCATGAAGGAAGTTTTGTCAAATTCGGAAGTTAAGTAGGCACGATCGTGCCCTCAAAGTCAGACACGATCGTGCCTGAAGAGAAAAGCACCGCGGAGTTACTGCCAGCTAGGCACGATCGTGCCTGGAGGGAGGCACGATCGTGCCTGCCCAAAATGCGCGTTTTTGCTCCGGAGGCACGATCGAAGGCACGATCGTGCCTGACATCGTGTCTGGCTCCGAAAATCCTAATTCAGCTCAAATTTCACCCGATTTTTCTATTTAAACAGCCTGTAAACCTCCGTTTTCAAGGGGGGAGCTTAGAGAGAGTGCCTAGCACGAATTTTAGAGGGCTTTTCAGCCTTGTTCATCAATCTTTTGGGATTCTTTGTAAGTTCCACCTTTTTAATAAATGACAATTAATTCTTTTTATTCCAATTCTATTGATTCTTCAATTATGAATTGTGAGTAGTTTTAATTAGGGATTTGGGATTGATGAAGGAGTTGATCATGATGTATGGCTAGATTCTTTTCGGTTTAATTGCATGAATATAATGCCGTTTAATTTGTTTTTGAATAATTTAATTGATATCTTTTGTAACCTAGAATCGCGACTAGAATTACAATTGCATGTAGAATAAATTAAGAGAGATCTAATTTGTTCTAAGACACATTCACACACACTTAATCGTTCGCTAAGAGATTAGTAGCGATTAAGGGGCCGTAAGCTCGCTCGTCTTGGCAATAATTTAGGATCCTGTCGCATGAGAGATCAGCCTGTTCCCCTAAATTATTGTACTCTACGCCGCGAGAGCGGTAAGAACTTAGTAATGATTAGCTAGGCTCAATTAAATTAATTTCATGTAATTAGGCCTGATCTGCCAGAAATCTGGTTACCCCGGAATCGATCCCTGATTCCCTGTTCCCTTCGTCATTAATTAGAAAGAACCCCCTAGTTTAATTGTTCGCATTAGTTTTATTTTCCAAACCAACCAATCTCGCACGACGCTTTTATTTTATTTTCTTTTTAATCGCTGAATTTAATTAATTCTTGATTCCCTTTTGTCCGTCCCTGTGGAGACGACACTCGTACTTACACCACTATATTAAGATCTATTTTAAGTGAGAGAAAACTCACATCACTACCAATCACAATAGGCAGTCTATTGTCGCCGTCATCACCTTCATTAAAATTAAAATGTCACAAAAATATACCCCCCCCCCCCGTCCCGCTAAGATTGTCCCATTTTACCTTTTCGGGAAGTCCCACTAAGATTGTCTCATACCAAATTTGGTAAAGTTTGTGTGCCTCTAAATCATTCTTACTTTATTCTTACTTTATCAATTTAATATCAACCACACAAACTCACTTTTCTTAATAATCGTGTCACTTTATCTTATCCCAATCTTAGTGGGACGAAGGTAGTACTACGTATATTCTAAACCTTTTTCCTAAAGAAAGAGGCCAAAGGACTAATTTGCAAAATTCTGAAGTCTAGAAGAGCTAATATCTTTAAAAAAATTGACTGTACACATTTTTAGATAAATAAATTACAAAAATGTGTAGTTAGTTTTGGAAAAAAAATAGTGTCACTGTTAAAATTTAGAGCCCATTTGGTAACACGTACATATGCTGATTAGACTAATTCTGTTGAAATTTATGAAGTTCCGACTGAAGTGACTGCATTGACTGATTCTGCTGATTTAAGAAATTATTATTTTTAAAATACATTTTATTAATAAATAATGAAAATATTATATGTAAAACTAGCTAAAATGGTCATCTGCAGTAACTTCAACCAATACAACCAAAAAAGTAACTCCAATCTTAGTTTTTCTAATTATTACAAAATTCAGCCTGCGAAAACAAAAATTGCGTGTTTGGTGAAAAAGTTGATTGATAAGCCGAACAGCAGTGTTACCAAACGACTTCTTAATAGATAAAAAGCAGTTGAAAAAATAAAAGTGTAGTTAATATGTGAGTATAATAAAGTGAAATATTGTGGATCACATAATTATATCTAAAAAAATGTACCTGGAGTAACACTTATTTTAGGACAACCTAAAAGGAAAAAATGAGACAAGTAAAATAAGATGGGATCCCAAATAAGATAGATAGGGTAATATATTTCTCCATAAATTACATTCCAGTAATATTTAAGCAAAACCTCTTAAATAAAATCAAATTGTTTACAATGTATTAAAGTAGATAATGCAGATTTATAAAAAAATATGTAGATAATGCGAATTGGAGGGAAGATCTACAGACTACAAACTTATACAAGCATACTACCGCCTACTACCGCATAATGTTAGATGAATATCAACCCCTCCTTACATCTAATATTTCTCCAATTCCATGCTTTCAACGATTTTGAAGGAAGAACATCATGTTTCGTGGTGTCTTCAACATTGGATCAGAGAATTTAGGGTAGTCATCTTTCAAGGGAAATTGTCCCTTCCACATGAGAACATAGTCGACAAGACACAAGCCCTCCATCGCCCTCTTCTACACATTATAAAATTAGACTAAGTTAATACATATTTGTCAAATATTCTCAAAATTATGCACAAAATTGTGCAATGACAAACTATTGTAATTGCAAGAGTATATAGCTATGGTCATAGCTATTTAACTCTAGCTCTATAAGTATATAGTAGGAGTAACAATAAGAATAACAATAAAAATAATAATAACAATCACAATAAGTAATACGTAGTAAGTAATACTTCGTACTCCGTAATAATACTCCCGTCGTCCCAAAATAAATGTTCTACTTTCCCAAAATGGATGTCCCAAAATAAATGTCCTACTTCTTTAATCTCCTTATTTGGTAAACAAATTTATATCAAACAGTGTCAAACAGTGCAAAGCAATGTCAAACAGTGTCATTATAGTGCCAAATAGTGTCGCTATGCGCGCCAAGTCAAATTCATTTCCTTAATCTGTGTGAAGTCAAAGTAGGACGTTTATTTTGGGACGGAGGGAGTATAATAACAATAATAATATCTTTGATTACCAGTTGCAAAGAAGATGCACACAACGATTTCAATGCTTTGTAACAATCTTCGTAGTGAACCGAGATTTTATCATTGTCAACATCAAAAGCCCTAGCAATAAAAAACAACTTCTATCATCTCTAATCAATCTTACGTCTTTCCAATATACTATTCTCCGTCTCTTTTTAATCGCAACATGTTGAATTTTACACTATTCACATGTTCTACTTTGACTACATTTTATATTATTATTTTATGAAAATTATTTTTTTAAAATTATATTGCTCAATTCATCTTATTACAAATTTTCAAAATCTAATTTTTAAATATTTTTTACTAATAGGGATTAAGATATAATTACGGTCAAAGATGTGCGTTGGCAAGTGTGAAATGTTGACCGTTGCAACTAAAAAAGAACGGAGGAAGTAATAACATAAGAGTTCTTGCTAAAAAGGTTAAAGTCCAAAAGAAGAAACTTCCAGAACCCAAATTTAAAAATGAAAAAACATAAATACTCCAAAATTAATAAATTTCATTTTTTTTTAGAAGTTAACTGTATTTTTCTTGTGACAATATACATACTCTAAATGAATTGTTACAAACTGGTCTTCGTGTCTATATAATACATATAATAACACAAATAATAAATTACAAATAATGATTCAAAGAATGAAGACGATGTGAGAAAATAAAGTACATACCTCACCACACCCAGAGTCTCGAGGAAGGTGCGTACTGATGCAGGTTCATCGGTAAACCATTGAGGCAAATCTTTAATAATGATAGTAGGTGACTCTAAGAGAAATAAAAGTAATTAGTAAAAGGAAAGGACGAGGTTCTCATTTACACAAATCTTTACTGATGCGTACTCTGAAATATATTTTTCAGAAAATATATGATTTGCTTTCATTTTATGAAACCACTTGTTCTCAAACTATGTTGATTGTTTTTGGTTCAGTATGTCAAGATCAGTTCCATTCTACAAGGTTAACATTTTTTTAACCGTTCTACAAGGTTAACGTGATAAGAGGAATAACTCAAATTTTAATATAACACTTTATTACTTACTATTTTCCGGTGTGAGACTTTAACACCCATTTTCACGACTAGACACTTCTATTGGATCGTGTCGTCATTCATTTTTCCATAGGCTCATCTTTTTTCATTTTTACTAATGATCATCATTTTCATAGGGGCCCAAGCCATGATTATGGAATGATGTTAAGATCTGTGATTCCATCCTATAGGTCAACAAATTGAATTTGTTAAAGTCCCACAACTCAACTAAATAATACTTTATTATTCCACTATTTTCCGGTGTGGGACTTTAACAAATTCAATTTGAGCTCATATGTGGCTCGGTTAACGAGTCTAGCCGAGCCCAAACACCCAGAGTTCGAGTTCATCTCAATTTAATAATAGTGACATTCGGGTTCGAGCTGAAAGGTCGACGAGCTTTACAAATGAGCTTCAAATTCGCCTCAGCACATGTTCGGTGTTCGAACCGAACACTCGATAAGCTCATAAAATATGCTCATGTTCGAATTATTGGACCAAGTGCTCGATTCATTAATAATCATATTTACATTTATAAAATCACACTAATTGCGTTTAAATTTCAATATGTACCTAATTTGTCCTATCGTTTCAAGGCGTTCAACATGCTTGGGCTCGAAAGGAGCCTAAAATACAATGATGCTCGACCTCGGCTCGAATACATATATGTACTCAAAACTCAGCTCGTGTTTGAGCACAAAGCTCGTTCAGCTCGGATCTTCAGATTTGAAATCGAGCTCGAGCTCGAAAACAAAGACAATGAGAAAAGAAAAGGGAAGAAAACCTTGATTATCAGCCGGGGTGTTTGAAAGGGAAGCCATCATTTGATCGGGATCTTCTTCAGATGGCAAGGTCAGCTCAACTTGATAGGTGGCATGCACCCATTAATATCATTCTATATGTGCCATGTTCCTTCAGCAAGTAATTCCTGAGGCCCAAGCGAAACTCCTAAGATACCAATCTTTGATCCCTAAAGAAGAAGTGACCATCTGCTAAGATCCACCTCTCTTTGCCTTCATCAGTAACAGTCCATTTGAAGGGAGACACAATATGAATGCGAATGTCATCAAACGGAATTGTGATAGGACTGGGAAAAACATAACATTTCTCTAAGCCATGAGAGATTATAATTTTTACATTGAACACATCTACGGGTCTGACAAAGGAACCCATGCAACCAAGGGTGTAGTTGAACTTAATGCGTGGAACCAATGATAAGGACAAATCTTCAATAAGTTTTATACATTCTGGTGGAGGAGGAAATGGCATGTGGGGGATGGCCTTTGGGATTGGAACTGGAGCATCTGCAGTTGTTTCTTCCTTCCTGGCATCCATCAAAGCAGGAGCAGTTTTGGATTCATTTTCACTATATGCCCTCTTAGCTGAGGAATTCTTTTCACTTTCATCTGCAAATATTTTTCTTGAAAAATTAACACATAACAATCACCAATATAATGTCATAAACAACTCACTTCTGCACATTTTTTTTGTAAAGAAAGAAACAAAAATGGGAACCATGGGAACCAATAGATCAGTAGAATTTATGATGATAGAGCAATTTTGAGACAGGAAATTCACAATGCTGCTTGAAGGTACTGTCTAGTAAAAGCTATATTGAAGATGGGTGAGCCTTATGCTCCTGGTCAGCCTTAGTAAACAAACCAGTGTCTAAGTTCATCAGAACTAATTCCAGCTTTGAGCCATTTTGCATTTACATTCAAGATAATGCCCTCCACCATAGTACACCACATCATACAGAGACTGGTAGACAAGTAGTTTCAGCCAAGCAACACAAACACATTGCTAGTCCATATGCATATATACTCCCCCCCCCCCCCAAGTAAAAACAAACATCCAACTACTACTGATCAATATGCACCCAAAAGAATATCCCAATAAAACCATCTCCAAAAGCAGCAATCATACCCAACATGGCAGGCCGTAAAAATCAACGCAAATTCTAGAAAAAACAATATTTACTCGGGGTCTTGTGTTCATGATCAGATGCATCTTGGCCATCCAAATGGATCTTGACTTGGGCATCATTATCCTGTTCATAACCTACAATGGTTCCACATATCAAATCACTTCAAGATGAAAGATCAAATGGATAAACTAACAAGAAATCTCATAAAGTAAAAAACAATTTTGCTCGGTGAAATGCAAAAAACGATACTTCAAACTATTGATAGTGTTGCATTTGGATACCTTACCTCTTAAATACTATCGTAAATCAAATAAATACCATAACTGTACGTTTAAAAATATTGTGGGAGAAATGTCAATTAGGATTTGGAATTTCAACAAATAGACCACAACTAATACAACACATTAGAAACTCAGCAAGAATAATCAACTAATACTTCGTACTATGTTTATTAAAATTTTAAACTGGCAATTCATATACTGATAATCTGATATGCAAAATATCCGTAAATTTAATAACAATTCATGAAGTAGCAGAACATAAAGAAGAAACCAACCTGATCGTTCAGGCTCAATGTTATCTTGGGTTTTCATTTTTTAATTTCGATGGAAGGAAATAAATTGTTGCCTGGTCTGAAGTTGGATACCTTTAGGCGTAAGTTTGCCAGACTAGTATTTCACACTCTCACAGTGCCATGCACTAGATGGAATATTTTGCTTAAAGATTAAGGCTTTGTTTGGATCGACAGTTAGTTATTAGCTGATTGTGATAACGACAGCCACATACATGGGTTGAATTAGCGGTTTTAATTAGCTGATTATGTTAACTTATTGTAAGTAACTGTCTCATAAAATGACTATTTAAGTATAGCTTATAGAGTGTAAAATGACACATAAGGACATTAGTATATACGAAATATTTTTTATTTCTTATAACAATATTATTTGGAATAATTACATATTTACATATATATGACATATATTATTTGCGTTGATTTTTACGGCCTGCCATGTTGGGTATGACTTACTCGTTCTTTTTTAGTTGCAATACTCCCTTTTTCACGTTTGTCAACACACAATTTTGACAATTCAATATTTAATTCTGTCTTTGTAAAAAATAATTAAAAATCATATTATGAAACTTAGTAGTGAGGTGAAATTAACAATATTTTTCAAAAAATAATAATTCACACACAATAATAAATAAAAGGGAAAGTCGCACTTTTAGTTCCTGAAATAGTCACGAAAATGAAATGTCAGACTCGTATTTCGGATATTGTAAATGTCACCCCTCAATTGTTCAAATTGTTGTAAATTTACAACATTGTATATGTCACCCCTCATTTAAATGTGGTCCTTTAAGGGGTGAAATGTACTCTCGCCCACATTGTATATTTCACCCCATAGACCATTTGGAGTGGTGCAAGAGTCTAAATGTCAAAAATGGACTCCGTCGATATGAAAATAGTGTTTTGACTCTTATTCTCTGCATTCCAGCACCGTCAATAAAATACACTCTGCACATTTTTTTACATATCAATTTAGTAAAACATTAATTAAATTATTATAAGTAATGTTTTCCTTTTAATTTTTTCTCTGATTAATTATAAAATAAAAAAGACACATTTCGATGTAAAAAAAAAACTAAATTTCATTAATTCTTTTTTTTTTTACGTTTTTTGCTGAGTTATTTCAAACACATTGGAACATTGGATTCTCTTCTCAACTTTGTGTCTATCCATAACACATTGGATTCCCTTCTCAACTTGTTGGATCTTTTCAAATCACATTGGATTCTCTTTTCACATTGGAACGTTACATTTTTGCGAAAATGATACGTGAATTCGGCCCCAAAAACTCTCCCCAAGTTGATTTATGCCAATGGCACCATCTTCGGATATGGATACCCAAGCGTTGCATAGAGCAACATCCTCAATAACACTCCAATTAGGACCTCTTCTTGATGAAGACATCACAAAAATTTAGATAGTAAAGAAAATACTATCGTATAATGAAGAATGAGATAGATGAGAGATGTGTGATTAAAATAGGAAGAAATGAGGTGTTTATATAGGAATTTCGGTCAAAATATTAATTAAAAATAATGAGAAAATAAAATAAATTACTTTAACTGTTGGATTTCAATTTCAGCCGTTGGATCAATTTTTCCCCCGTTCAAACAGTGTCCAAATCATCACAGCTGTTGGATCTACCGTTTTTTTAAATAAAAACCACCTAGAGCCCTTGGGAGTGCTCAATGACACCAACATGATGTCTTCATGACGTCATGCAATTCAATTAAATCTACATCTTCCCCTCTGCGCAGCAGCCTGTCCGCCCCCACCCCCTTTTACTTTTACTTTTCCATTTAATTTGGAGTAAAATGCATAAATAATCCCTAAACTATCAGCATCATATCGTTTTGATCCTTGAACTAATAATTCTACCATTTTAGTCCCTAATCTATTTAATCTATATTAATTCGGTCCTTCTGTTAGTATTTTGACGTTAGACAAACGAAATTTGCTAAGTTAGTGTATGTATGTGTAAATCAACATACTTATTAGACAAAATATAATTTATAAATTTCTTGATTTAATATCTAAATAAATTAGAATGAAAATCACTATCAAATCATAATATAACGCATTGGATGTTTTTATTTGGACTGGAATTTTCTGGTCTGATCTAGTCTGGTATAAATTGGTTTAGTCTGGTAAACGTCTGGTCTCTGTGTATTTTATAATTGTTCAAGTCTTGTTTAGTCTGATCTGGTCTGGGACTAAAAAGAGTCCAATTAAAAACACCCTTACATACATATTCCTTATACGAATTAATATTGTTCAAGTTTTCAATTAAAGTATAACATACTAGATATTGTTTATAAAAATTTCGGAGTCTTTATATGTGTGTGTATAATCACTTATTCATTCATCTATGATATAATAATTATGAATATTACGTCAGTAGATACACTAATTAAAAATTTATTTATTAAGCTATTATAGTATATTGATCTAATTTAAATCAATTTTTTATTAATCACATTAATTTATGAATTTTCCTTGTTAAATACTACGTATAAATATTAACACTATGCAATAAGATTTTCCTACTATGCACACAACTAAAACTAAAATTTTCATCCCATTCATACATAACACGTTTTTTTACTCCAGGGGGTCTGGGGGAGGGGACCTGGAGTAATTAGGGCTAAAACTCATTCCATTGATTTTCAAACCCTTATGTGCCTAGCGGAATTCGAACTCGAAACCTCCCATTAGGCACGATAATCTCACAACCAGCTGAGCTGGAATGCTTGGTTGCATACATAACACGTTAAGTACTTAAGTTTGGGAGTTTTACTAATCTTTATTTTTGCATATGCAATGAGAATATGGTGGAAAACAAAATAAAAAACTATATAGAGTCCAAAGAAATGAAAAATATTTTGTTAATTTATGAAACATGTAATAACTTCATAAATACTAATAATCAATGATTATGTAATTAATGATTATGTACATATCTTTGTATATACAGAGAGTATGGTTGAAAATCACAAAAAAAACTGTTTAGAGTCAAAAAGATGATTTTTTTTTGTCTTGATTAGTGAAGCATTTAATAACTCTATAAACAATAATAATTAAAAATTATGTAAGTATTTAATTAATAGTTACAATGTATAAATAACACATTAAAAATGAAATTAATATAAATATAATAATTGAAAAATAGAAACGTAAAAAAATCAAATTTCATTTGAACACATGAAAATAAAGATATAATGATGTAATATTCTAAAACTAGATTAGCTACTAAAAAATTTACTAATATTTGTGTAGTTCCATATTGTGTAAAATTAGGATATCACATTTGCTCTACCGTCAATTTAAACGGAAAGAATTAACGGAAGGACTTGATTAATATGGATCAAATATATTAAGGACTAAAATGATATATTTAATAGTTTAAGGACCAAAATGATATGATGCTGATAGTTTAGGGACCATTTATGCATTTAACTCTTTAATTTGAGGGAGTCAACTCCACCCTTCAAGTTTAGAACCCTCCATCCTATTACCCACTTTTACTCCCCCATATTGTGAACCACTACAAGGAATTAGGAGTCCAAAAATTACACTTTTAGCATTTTGGACTCCTAATCTTACACCACTCCAAGTGGTCTTAAAGGGACCACGTTTACAATATTTAGGACAATTGAGAAACGACATTTACAAACATGGGAATACGGGTCTGACATTTCATTTTCATGACTATTTGAGAGACTAAAAGTGTGATTTTCCCTAAATAAAATAGTCCAAATATAGTATATAAATATTGTATAAATTTCAATGCTGCAATTAATCCAGGGATAGTATAATACAACTTTCGTCCTAATTTGTGTGTTTTGTTTTATTTTGATATAATTATTAATAAAGCGATTGAAAAAATGAAAATTATGATTGGAATGTGAGTATAATAAAATGAATTATTTTGGACCACATATTTATTTCAAAAAAAAAAAAGAAATATGACATTTATTTTGAAACAAAAAAGAGTGAGATAAGTAAAATCAAATGAAGGGATAATATCTTTGTCCATAAAATACATTCCATTAATATTTAAGCAAAACCTCTTAAATAAAATCAGTAAAGTATACTACAGGAGTGTTTGGGTTTGCTTAAAAAAACACTTTTCAGCTTTTGGCTTAAAAAAAGTTGAAAAGAGTGTTTTCAAATGACAGCTTCTGCTTAAATTAATTACTTAAAAGCTAAAAGTTGAAAGTAGGTAGAAGAGTGTTTTAAACTGCTTCTCACTTTTTCTATTACACAAAACGTACTTATTTTACCAAACACTACCAACTTGTACTTTTCCAGAATCACTTTTTTCCCAAACACTACCAACTTTTACTATTAATCATTTTTCCCAAAATCACTTTAAAAAATCACTTTTAATGCGAATTGGAGCAGATTTATCAAAAAAAAAAAGTGTAGATAATGCGAATTGGAGGGAGAATTGTAAAGATAGATTAAGTAGATTCTCCCTCCAATTCGCATTATCTACACTTTTTTTTTTTTACCTATTTATCAAAAATCACTTTACCTATTTATCTATACAAGCTAACAAGCATAATGCATACGAATTACGAAGGGAGATTTTCTGGGTAAACGTGAGGCTCCAATGGAAGCTGCCATACGAAGGAAGAATTGTAAAGAATCATAATTTCAATTCTTCAACTCTCGAATTTCTGGGAAAAAATAATAATGGCGTCTTTTACTATGATTCAGCAACTGTACCAATTTCCAGTCTCCGCGAATAACCGCCATCGGAGCCGACTGCTCCACCGCCTGGTCAGTGGTCTCTGCCCGAATGCCCTCGACCTTCTCTTTTCCTTCTTCTGCTATTGATTAAGCTTTTAGTTTACTGTAAACAGGCTATTGTTGCAAGAAGAAACAGAACAATTATCAGAGCTGAAATTTCTGCTACTGGAGCTGCCAGTGTCGTTGATGCTTCTTCAACTACAGCTACTCTTCTCGAGCCCTTTGACTCTTCTCCTTTTTCGTTTCCACTCTTTGAACCTCCTTCTCAGCCCGAAGAATCTCCTGCTTCTCAGGTTCTCTCCTCTAATCTGGACTCTTTTTATAGATAAAATGGTCCTGCTAACCACAGCCCTTAGAGCTGTGGTTGAGCATTA